TGTCTTTTCAAGCTGCCCTTTTAAATCTTCTCTCAGTTCTCTTATCTCAGTTTGCCTTTCCCTTGTTTTGGGTTCATTTTCATTCCAATACAAGTTTCCAGTTTCTTCTGACATTCATTTGTTGTTGTTGTTATGTGCCATCAAGTTGCCTGCGACTCATGGCAACCCTATTGAAACTTGCCCTATCCTGAGCCTATCTCACTGACACCAACGTACCTACCCTCATTACCCCAGTTACTGTTGTCAATCCATCTCATCAGGGATCTTCCTCTCCTGCACTGTCCCTCCACCCTTCCAAGCATGATGTCTTTCTCCTTGGACTGGTTCCTTCTGGCCATGTGCCCAAAGCATGTGAGACGGAACTTCAAAATCCTTGCCTCCAAGGAGAAACTTGGTTTCACCCTTTCCAAGACAGAACTGTTTGTTCTCTTGGAGACCCATTGTATGTTCAAGATTCTTCTCCAGCACTACAACTCAACTCAACCTCTTCTTTCATCCTTAGTGGTCATCCAGCTCCTTGATGGATAGCAAGTAATTGCAAAGAGCATGGTCTGATCGGTCTGGATTAGGTGCACCTAATCTCTTGACTCACATCATTAGGTCTTCCTTTTCTTCATAATAACCTTTTGCTTTCTTCATAGATGATGTCCTTGATGTCATGTCACAACTTGTCCAGCATTAGAGTTCAGTGCATCATATCTGTTCTTAAAATTTTTTTAAAATTCAGTTAGTATACACTCAAGGTAATATTTTGGTTCTCAAGGACTTGTTTTCATTTTCTTCAAGTTCAATTTGAACTTGCAAGTGAGTAATTGATGGTTCCAATCTGAGCTTCTCCAATGTCTCTTTCCACATATGGAGACATGGTGGTTGAGGAGTCCATCAGGTGAAGTTCATGTATATAGTTACCATCTCTGGCTTTTCTTTAATAAAATATTTTCAATTAAAACATTTATTATAGAAAATTCTATTATTCTATCTCCAGTCTCTCTTCTGTCACCAATCCCATACTTTCTGACTACCCGTCCTTCTTTGTTTCCAACTTTTGCATTCCAGTCACGAGTTAGTATTAGTGCATCTTCAATACATGTTCAATCAATTTTAGACTTCAAAATTTTGGAGAAATCCTCAATTTCTTCATGCTTGACTTTTGTGGTTGGTGTACATATTTGAATAATGGCTAAAGCATCAGATCATCCTTGTATGCATATGAATTATATCTTATCACTCACAGCATTTTACTTCAGGATAGGTCTTGAAAATCTGTTGAAATGTGGCATCAGGATTAGAGGAACACTCATTAACAACCTACAAGTCATGGAAAAGATACAACCTTGCTTGCAGAAAGTGAGGAAGACTTGAAGCACTTATTACAGAAGGTCAAGGACTACAGCCTTCACTATTGGTTACATCTCAACATCAAGCAAACAAAAATCCACTGGACCATTAGGCAACATCTTGATTATTGTTATTGTTGTGTGTGCCATCAAGTCACCAACATGCCTTTGGGATTGCAACACAGCTTCTTACCATTAGGACACCAGAGCTTCTTAATATCATGATTGTTGTTGTTTTTGTTTACCATGGAGTCAGAACTGACTCAAAGCTGACAGTCCAGTGGGTTTTCAGAGGCAGTAAATGACACAGGAGGGAAAAGTCCATCCTTCTCCCACAGAACAGCTGGTGGATTCAAACCACAAGCCTTTAGGACTGCAGTGCAGGTTCTTACCACTAGGTCACCAGAACTCCTTAACATCATGATAGATGGAGGAGAAATTGAAGTTGCCAGTGATTTCCTTTTACTTAGGTTCACAATAAACACTCATGGTAACAGCAGTCAAGAATTCAAAAGACATGATGCTTTGGGGAAATCTGCTGTCAAGGACCTCTGCAAAGTTCTAAACAATGTGAATGTCAGTTTCAAGACTAAGATGTGCCTGAGGTAAGCCGTGGTCTTTTGAATTGTTTCCTCTGTATCTGAAAGTTGGGCAGTGAATAAGGATGACAGAAGAATCCATGCCTTTGAATGGTGATGTTGTCAAAGAGTACTGAATATACTACAAATTGTCAAAAGAAGAGAAAAGCATGTCTTAAAGTGCAACAAGGATACTCCTTAGAAGAAGCAAGGATGGTAAAACCATCTCACTTTGGGCATATTTTCAGGAGGAACCAGTCATTGGAGAGAGACATTATGCTAGGAGAGAGCAAGACCTTCAAGATGAATTGACAGTGACTATTATAAGGGGCTTGAACAGGACAGAGATAATGAAGATGGCACAGAACAGAGCAAGGTTCACATCTGTTGCTCACAGGGTGGCTATGAGTCTTAATCTTTTTTATGGCATCTAACAACAACTAAAAGTGAGGATACTGTTCAAAGCAATAAGCTAGATGGCCTTAGGAAGCTGAAAGTAATGGGGTAGAAAGATCAGGGAAGATCAAAGTTGACATTTGGAGCCATTTTGCGGAGATCTGAGAAACAGTATTCCATAATATTAAAAAGCCAAAAGCTATAGCTGTCCATGCAAGGTTCCAATGGCGACCTTACATGGATTTTTCTGGAAGCTGTAAATATTAGGAAGAGCCAACTACATCTTCATCCTCCTGCAAAATGGCTGGTAGATTTGGACCTCATGATCCAAGTGATCTCACTAACTTATTTGGTAACGCACTACATCTTATGGACAAAAAGGACCTTTCAAAGACTCCAAACTCTGCCTGGCTTGAGTGTAGTGAGAAGGCATGAGAGCAGAGATGTTCACAGGACAGAACAGAGGAGGAGCCTACTAGACTGGGTGAAACTCTTCAAGTTGCATATCTAAATTTTTTGTTACCGTAGTAGCTCAAGTATTGAAAAGGTATGGAGATAGGATACATCCCTGGCATAAACCCTTCCCAATTTTGAACCGTACATTGTTTCCTTGCTCTGTTCTGACAACTACCTCCTGGTCCAAGTATAGGTTTCACATTAGCATGACCAAGTGTTCTGGGATTCCCATTCTCAGAATCAGCCTCAGTTTGTTGTGATCCACAGTCAAACGTCTTTGCATAATCAATGAAACACAGATAGACCTTCCTCTGGTACTCCCTGCTTTCAGCCAAGATCCATCTAACAATAGCTACAATATTCCTAGAGCCACAACCCCTTTTAAACTCAACCTGCACTTCTGGTAGTTCACTGTTGGTGTGCTGTTCCAGTCATTTTTGGATAATATTCAGCAGAATCTTGCTTGCATGTGATATCAAGGATACTGTTTGATAATTTCCACACTGTTGGATTACCTTTCTTTGGAATAGGAACAAATATAGATCTCTTCCAGTTAGTTGGCCAAGTGGTTGTCCTCTAGATTTCTTGGCATAACGTTGTGAGCACATCTAGGGCAGCATCTGTTAGCTGAAATACGTCAATTGGTATGCCATCCATTCCTGGGGCCTTATTTTTTGCCAATTCTTCCAAAGTAGCTTTAACTTCTCCTTCACCACCATAAGCTCATATGCTGTTTCATGAAATTTTCTGTGTCTGCCAATTCCTTTTGGTACAGTGACTCTGTATACTCTTTCCACCTTCTTTTAATACTTCCAAAATCATTTAATATTCTACCCAAAGCATCCTTAAGTATTGCAACTCGAGGCTTGAATTTGTTCCTCAGTTCCTTGAGCTTAAGAAATGCTGAGCGAGTTCCGCCCCTTTGATTTTCTGACTCCAGGTCTATGCACATTTCATTATAATACTTCGTATTCTCATGCTGCCTTTTAAAATTTTCTGTTCAGCTCCATAATACCTTTTCTTTCCTCTGCTTTGGCTTCTTGACACTCTACTGCAATATTCAGAGTCTCTTCTGACATCCAATGTGACATCAGGATTGGAAAAGACTCATCAACAATCTACATTATGCAGATGACACAACCCTGCTTGCTGAAACTGATGAGGCCCTGAAGCGCTTGTTGCAGAAGGTCAAGAACTGCAGCCTTCAATACGGATTGAGGCTCAACATCAAGAAAACAAAGATTCTCACCACTGGACCAATTGGCAGCATCATTATAGATGGTGAAGAGATTGAGATTGTTCACAGCTTTAGTTTGCTTGGCTCCACAATCAACACTCTTGGCACTAGCATGCTGCCAGGAAATTAAAAGACGTTTTTCGATTGGGGGGGGGGGAAGGGGAAGTCTGCTATTAGAGACCTTTCTAAAGTACTGAAGAGCAACAATGTCAGTCTGGAGACTAAGGTGTGCCTGATACAGGCATAGCAATCACTTGCTAGTCATCAGAGAACTGGACAATGACTAGGGATGATAGAAGGAGAATTGATGCCTGTGAGCTGTGGTACGGAGAAATGTATTTAATACACCATGGATTGCTAAGGGAGCGGACAGGTTCGTCTTGGAGAGGATTAAACCAGGCTGCGCCTTGGAGGCAAGGATTCTGAGGCTTTGACATAATTTGGACATGTTGCAAGGAGGAACTAGTACCTGGAGAGGAACATCATGCTTGAGAAGATAGAGGGACAGCGCAGAAGAGGAAGACCCACGATGAGATGGATTGATTCAGTAACTAGGGTAATGGGGTAAGTGTGTCAGAGACAATAAGATTGGCACAGGATAGAGCAGAGTTTAGGGCTGTTGTACACAGGGTCGCTATGATTCGCAGGCGACTTGAAGATACATAACAACAAGAAGTAGCTCAAAGGAGATGGATGGAGTGCAAAGGCTTAAATAAAGATCGAAGTCTGGAGACAAAGCAGGTCGCCTTTAAATTAAGCGCTCGCGTCTCAGCCTCTTCTAATTCGGCTTCTAAAATCCGGAAGGCTTAGTCAAGCTGGTTCGGTTATGCAAGTGAAAGCCGAGCCCGGGAAAGAACGCGCGCCACCTTGGGGAAGTTTGGGTCTCTGCGCCCGCCGTAGACGTGCGGACGTAGGTTATCTGTTGCCTTGGAGCTGGCGAGACGCGGCTGGGCCTCTAGGCTGTGTGTAGAACCTCGGCTGTGAGTCTCTGTCATCATGTCGGTGCTGGACGCACTCTGGGAGGACCGGGACGTCCGCTTCGACGTGTCCACACAGTGAGTCGCCAGGGTTGTCCCGGGGCCCCTGGCCTGCAGAGGGCGCCGCTTCGCAAATTCGAAACCCGCGGGCGGCCTGTGCCCAGGTGGCTTGGAGGCATTTCGAGGATGGGAGGTGGGAGGGGGTTTGCTCCTGGTGTCTATACCTCGTGAAGTCCCCGGATTAACCTGGAAACTGCAGCCCGGCAGAAGCCTGCAACAAAGCAGGAATGTCCAGATAATCAGATTTCAGTCAGGCAAATCCCAGCCAAGTCCCGGGAAGTTGAACCCAAATACAGCCTGAAGCCAGCCAGATTCCATGGTGGGAAAAACTTCTGGCTGACCTGGAAAACCAGTGTTTGAAAACTAGATTTGGAATAATGGCATATTGTGGGTGCTTGGTCTGACTGCCCAGCATTGATATCTTGATGGTAGCTGACTGCCACATCTTTCTTGAAGAGCGGCTGGTAGATTTGAACCAGATTTGTTAACCTTTTGGTTAACAGTTAACCACGATCACACGTACAGACACCCCTCCGCTGTCCTCAATCTTCTACAGTAGATATACATTGATACTTTAGTAGTGAACAGTAAAGTTGTTGTTGCTGCTGTTGTTGTTATGTGTCGTGGAGTCGCCTGCAAGTCATAGAGACCCTATGTACAACAGCCCTAACCCTTGCTCTATCCTGTGTCAGCCTTACTGTCTCTGACACACCTACCCCAATTACCCTATTCACTGAATCAATCCACCTCATCAAGGGTCTTCCTCTCTTAACGCTGTCCCTCCACCCTCCCGAGCATGAAGGCCCTCTCCAGGTACTGGTTCCTCCTTGCAACATGTCCAAAGTATGTCAGAGGAAGCTTCAGAATCCTTGCCTCCAAGGAGCAGCCTGGTCTCACCTTCTCTAGGACAAAGCTATTTATTCTCCTAGCAGTCCATGGTATATTCAATACTCTTCTCCAAAACCATTGCTCAAAGGCATCAATTCTCCTATCATCCCTAGTCACTGTCTAGCTCTCTGACGCATAGCAAGCAATTGCAAAGACTATGGCCTGTATTAGACTCCAGACTGACATCATTGCCCTTCAGTACTTTGGAGAGATCTCTGACAGCAGACTTTCCCAATGCAATTCATCTTTTAATTTTCTGACTGCTGGTACCAAGAGTGTTGATTGTAGAGCCAGGCAAACTGAAGCTGTCAACAATCTCAGTCTCTTCATCGTCTATTATATCAGCCCAATGGTGAGAATCTGTTTTCTTGTTGTTGAGCTTCAATCCATATTGAAGGCTACAGTCCTTGACCTTTTGCAGCAAGCACTTCAGGTCCTCCTTAGTTTCAGCAAGGAGTCATCTGCATAACACAGATTGTTGATGAGTCTTCCTCCAATCCTGATGGATGCCACATTTCTTGTCATAAAGCCCAGCCTCCTAGATAATCTGTTCTGCATATAGATTGAAAAGATATCGAGATAGGACACAACCCTGGGAGTACTCCCTTCCCAGTGTACAATAAACAACAATAAGTTTGATAAATACTGTCCAAAACAAATTAGTAAAGCTGTGGAACAATAGAAGACTGCAGTGAACACCACATAGTAAAGATCCCACAGAAGAAATACTTGAATTGGATCTTAAAGGATGAGCGAGACCTTGTAAGGGTTGACAAGAAGAGAGAATTTCAAGGAGAGGAGGTGAAAATCCTCATTAGCAGTTAAGCCATGGAAATATAAACCTTACTAATTAGAAAGCAGACTATGTGGCAGGGAGAAGATGGATACAAATGAAAAGGTAGATTGGCCAAATTGTGAAATGTTTTGCTGAGAGTCGTAGACACGACCAAGGCAGTGATATAGAAGACTTTTAAACGGGATTATCTCATATTTTCAATAGATAATTGAGTTGGCCATTTAAAAGTATGCTAGAAGGTCCCAATAAATACTTTGCTAGTTATTTTTGGCACTCAAGAATGTGTTGGTCACAATGTGAATGAAAAACAGTGTGAAACGCGTTGTATATGAATTTTGTAAGCAAACCTGTATAAAAAAAATGTGTTGGTGGTTAATCCATAGGGAACTGCTCTCCAAATCCAGATCCACCAGAGACTCTGGAGAAAAAGGAACAGTCTTGTCCCAGGGAATTAAAACCCACTGAAGGATCAGCTATGAGTTAATTTTAACTCAGTAAGAATTACTTTGATTTTAAATTTAATAATTCATTAAGAGCAAAAAAAATTAAACAGCTATGTTTATTCTTTGTTTCATTTCCTTATATATAGTTGTTTACTTAGTCCTAATTATAAAGGCTGCAGTTACGGACCCCTCTAAATAACTGAGGAACAGTAATGTCAGTTTGAGGACTAAGATGTGATTCATGCCATGGTCTTTCAATCCCTTGCTGTGCATTTGACAGCTGAACAATGAATAAGGAAAACAGAAAAAGAATTGATGCCTTTGAGCTACGGTGTAGGAGAGGAGTGCTGAATATCCCAGGAACTGCCAAAAGAATAAAGAGATATGTCTTGGAGGAAGAGCAGTCTAAGTGCACTGTGCAGGCAAAGATGATAAAGCTTCATCACACATACTTTGGGCATGTTGCTAGGGCATGTCCCTTTGCATCATGAAGAGGTGGAGGGTTGGCAAAAGAGAGAAAGGCCCTCACCAGATGGACTGACAGTGACGGCAGCAATGAGCTCAAGTGTGTCAGAGATTGTGAGGATGGCACAAGACAGGACAAGATTGAGATCTGTTCTTAGGGTCACTGTGTGTCATACTCGACTCTACAGCACTTAACAACAATAATTATGCTTTGAATATCTCTCTTCTTTGACTGCCTGTTCTCCATTGGTCTATTCAGAAATCCCTGGGGAGTTCTTTATTGTCCATGGGATAAAGCCCACACCTGTAAGACGGGCAGTCAAGGGCCTCTACAATCTGGCTCCTTACTTCTCCAGTCCTGTTCCTCTCGGTATCAGTCTTCTTCCCTAGCCAGACCAGTCATGCCACTAACTCTCATTATTATTTCCTATTTCAGGTCATTAATCATGTACTCTTCCCTATCTCCCTTTTATTTCTCTGAATCAGACCCCTTCTTCAAGTTTTTACTTACTCTAAATAGCCCTAGTCATCCTAGATTTTTACTAATCTCCAGCTTCTTGAAGTTTTTGAAGACTTTATTTTCAAATTACTCATTTGGTATGGTACATTTACACAACTGGTTATTCTGTATGCATATGTGTCTTTTTTTGCCAAACTAGACTGGACTCAGGTAGAGCTATAGCTATAAAATTAAGCCTTCATATTTATTTTAGACAGATGAAAACAAGACCTGGAGAAGTCCTTATTGATTGTTTAGATTCAATTGAAGATACCAAAGGCAATAATGGTGATAGAGGTAAGTACAGTTTTCTAATGTATTTCATGTTTATGGCTTATTTTACAAATGTTAAGTCAAACTAGCTGGAGACCAAGAAGTCATAAAAAGATATAATTCTGATGCTTAAATACACATAAGACTTTTCTCAAGTCTAAGCAGAAGCAAGGGCAGATATTAAACTGACTACCGGAGAACACAGGTTCTCTCTACCTTACAAGTTTGGTCTTTCAGTAAGTGCTGGTATTCAGTGTGTAACTGTTAAAACCCCAGGATCCCTGTTTGCAAGGAGCACAGGATATTTCTTATGGCCTTAATCTTGATGAAACTGTAATTGACTTAAGGAAACTAAGGGCAAGCTTGATGGGTCTCATAATTGGCAAGAACTCTTACTGGAACTTCTCCAGAATACTAAAGACAAGGGTATCAGTTTAAAGACTAAGGTGTAGCTTATCTAAGCCATGGTCTTTTGCATTACTTATCATAAATCTGAAAGTTGGACAATGAATAATAAAGATGACAGAAGAGAATTGATGCATTGTGGCATTGGAGAAGAATACTGAATATCCCATGGACTGCCAGAACAACAAACAAGTGCCTTGGAAGAAGTACAGCCATGACTCTCCTTATAAACAAGGAAAGTAAAAACTTCATCTCACATATTTTGAATATATTGTCAAAAGGGGCAAGTCCTTTGTAAAAGACATTATACTGGGGGTAAATGGAGGGTTAGAGAAAGAGAGAAAGCCCTCAACAAGATAAATTCACACTATGGCTGTAACAGTGAGTTGGAGCATAACAGAGATTGGAGGATGGTCCAGATTTAGTCAGAGTTCCTATTGTTCATAGGGTTGCTTTAAGTCATAGTTGAGTTGATGGTACTTAATAACAATGGCAACTTATATGATAGTCTGTCACCAAAGAAAAACTTATGAGTAATATAATTGTATTAATCAAATATGTATTTAATGCCAATTCTATAGTTGTACTTTTGAGTAGTTGTTAAAAAGTCTCCCTAGATTATAAAATGATACAGCCACTCTGGAAATTATTGGCATTATTTCAAACAGCTGAACATAGAAATTCCCTATTTCTAAGCTATTCCACTGCTAGGAATATACCCAAGGAAAATAGAACTGAGACACAAAGATTTGTACGTTGATGTTCATAGCAGTGTTATTTACAATAGAAGGAAAATGGAAACGGTCCAAATGTCCATCCACAAACAAATGGATTAAGAAGTTGTGGTGCGGCGAGCTCTGGTGGCCTAGTGGCAAGAAGCTGCACTGCAATCCTAGAAGTATGCGGTTCGAATCCACCAGATGCTCTGCTGGAGAAGGAGGGACAATCTCCTCCTGTACCAGCCAGATCTGATTTGATGGTACACACACACAAAATAATTAAAAAGAAAAAAAAAGAAGTTGTGGTGCAGTCACATGATGGACTAGTATGTAGAATTCAGGAGCGACAACTTAAAAAAAATTCTATATAGCATGAGAGAGGCTTCAAGAGTATTATCCTTAGTGAACTAACTCAGTCTCATAAGGACAAATACTGCTAAGACCATTACTATAAAAATAGAAGGATAACTAGTAAGATGTATATAAATGTCCTAAGAGGAAAGGGAAGAAAGTGGAGATGGGAGAAAGAAAAATAAAGCCCACCAAAAAAAGCAATATAAATGAAAGTTAGATGAAAGAGTAAACAAAATGTATGTAACCATAAAAACAAAAGAAGAATATATATATATATATTTATGGTAGCAACTTCCCATCCTTGGGGTGGGGGCGGGAAGCCTCCCTAGCCAGGAGGTAGACCTCTGGTGGTTGAAGGGTAAGGAATTGTGCTGACAACACAAAGGCATACAGTTCAAATCCACCATCTGCTCTGCAGGAGAAAAGTAGATAATTTCCTCCCATGCAAATAACTAACTGCCCCTAAAAATCCACTGGAGAGTCAGCTATGAGACAGTTCTAACTCTGTGGCACATAACAACAGTACAGCCAGGAAGCTCCCTTATCATGCTTAAAGTTTTCCTAGTGATAATTCTGTGTAAAATGAAATTCTACAGGAGATCATGGAACTTCTGCCTAATAAGGAGATGAAAGAGAGAAAGAAATGCTGCTTCCTTCTAACTGTCTCCCACTCTTCAAGCAACTAGAAAATTACAAGTTAAGGCACTGCCAATTCAGGAGACCCCATGTTAAAACTGTAATTACTCCAAAGTGGTGGTGGTGGTGGTGGTGTTATGATGTGTCAAAAGAATCAATAGATGTTTTTGTGTTAGTTCATATCCCCATTGTAGAGACTAATGTTGCCTAATGAAATTATGTATCTACAACAATGCATTTAATATACAATATACTTTATGGAATCTTTACTTAATGTGCAGAGAGCTGGAGTTGGAGAATTAAAAGGAAAGAACTCACTCAGCATTTCTGAAGCTGAAAAAACTGGCGGGGGTTGGGGACTGGTGTTTTCAAACCAGAGAAATACCATGGACAAAATCTTGAATGATTCCCTGGAAGCATCAAAAGAAAATGAAATACTCAGAGTCACTGTACCCAAAAGAATTGGCCAATACAGAAATATTTCAGGAGGAATCATATGGGCAAGAGCAAATGGTAATGAAGGAAAAAGTTCAAGCTGCACTGTAGGCATTGACAAAAAAATAAGGCTCCAGGAATTAATGGGATACTAATTGACATGATTCAACTAACAGATGCAGCCTTAGATGTGCTCACCAGTCTATGCCAGAAAATTTGGAGGACAGCTGCCTAAGCAATATTTGTTCCTATTCTCAAGAAAGATGATCCAACAGAATGTGGAAATTATCAAACAATATCATTAATATCACATGTAAGCAAAATATTGCTGATGATCATCCAGAAATGTCCAAAACAGTAGATTGCCAGAGAACTTCCAGAAGTTCAAGTTGGATTTAGAAGAGGTTATGACACCAGGGATATTACTAATGTCAAATGGATTCTGGCTGAAAGCAGAGAATCCTAGAAGATTTATGTTTTATTGACTACAAATTATGGCTTACATTGAGAAGCATGGCAATCCCAGAAAGTCAGTTATGCTCATACAAAACTTGTGCCCTAGACCAAAAAGCTGCTGTCCATACAGAGCAAGAGAACACTACATGGTTTAAAATTAAGAAAGGTGTGTGTCAGGGCTTCCTTTCTCCAAACCTATTCAGTCTGTATGCTGAGCAAATTATTCGAGACACTGGACTTTATGAAGAAGAAAATAGCATCAGGATCAGAGGAAGACTCATCAGCATCCTGCATTATGCAAATGATACCCCTTGCTTGATGAAAGTGAACAGGATTTGAAGTACTTTCTGCAGAAGAATAAAGATGACAGCTTTCAATATGGATTAGATCTCAACATCAAGAAGACAAAAATATTCACGACTGGACTGGTAAGCAACAGCAAGATAAATGGAGAAAAGATTTAGATTGTCAACAATTCACAATCAACACCCTTGGTACCAAGAGTCAGGAAATAAAGAGATCTATCGCATTGGGCAAATCCACTAGCACGGACCTCTCCAAAGTCCTAAGGAGCAATATTAGATTGAAGACTCAGTTGCAGCTTATTCAGACCATGGTCTTTACAATCACTTGCTGCATCTGAGAGCTGGACAAGTGAATGAAGATGACAAAAGAATTGATGCCTTTGAACTGTGGTGTTGGAGAAGAGTACTGAATGGACTCTTTGCCAGTACCATGGATGCCAAAAGAACAAACAGGTAGGTCTTTGGAGAAAGTGCAATCAGAATGCACCTTGGAGGAAAAGATGATGAAGCTTTACCTCACATACTTTGGGCATGTTGTTATGTTATGAGAGGTGATTCCTTGGAAAGAGACATCCTACTTGGAAGGGTAAAGATGTCAGGAAAAGAGAAGACCCTCAACCAGATGGATTAACACAGTGCAGCCATGGCCTCAAGTATGTCACATGATGAGGATGGCACAAGATAGAACAAGGTTCAGATTTGTTGTTCATAGGGTCACTGTGAGTTGTACTTGCCCTGACAGCACCTAAAAACAAGAAAACATAAAATTATGGCCTAAAAATGAATTTTTGATGAATTAAATTATTTAAAAAAAATAATAATTACAGTTAACAGTTTGAATACAGGAGTCCCTGACTTATGAAAGGCTTTCCATTTTGATAAGTTGGTCCTTATAGAAGACAAACACCTCATACCTCCTTTTTTGTTTGTGTTAAGTTTTCATTATTTATTATTATTATTATTATTCTTTTGTGTGTGTACCATCAAATCAGATCTGACTGGTACAAGAGGAAATTGTTCCTCTTCTCCAGCAGAGTATCTGGTGGATTCGAACCTCATACCTCTGGGATTGCAGTGCAGCTTCTTGCCACTAGGCCACCAGAGCTTGCCAAGTTTTCATTATTGATGTGTTTCATTAGTGTCTTTATAAATTCATTCTTTGTGTTTGAGAGTTGACATGAGAATGATGATATCAGCAAATTACACACTGTAGCTTTGTATGTAGTACAGATTGCTAACAATAAGATACGCAGTAAAAAAATAGTTCATCATAACTGGAATGGGTGTTGGTTAAGGACTACTTTTAACTCTTCTCAATCTTATATAATATTATTTAATAATATTAATTTTAAAAACAAAAAAATGAAGTCAGTATTACTGTGTTTTTCAAATTAGGAAAGAGTAAAATGTAACCCACTTTACTTTTCCAATTCACATAGCTAGTAGGTAATAAATGAAACAGCTTGCTTTGTTTCCTGAATTGCTGATGTGCATAAGTCAGATGTATACAACTGAGAGTGAGTTTTGTTGTTGTTGTTGTTGTTAGGTGCCATTGAATATGACCCATAGCAACCCTATGAACAACAGATCTGAGCCCTGTCCTATCCTACAGCAACTTAACTATTTTTAACACGCTTAAGCCCATTGCAGCAGTGTGTCACTACATCTGGGTGAGGATCTTTTTTGCCAACCTTCCTCCTCTCCAAAGAAGAGCCTCTCCTAGCAACATGCCCAAAGCATATGAGCTTTATCATCTTTGTCTCCAAGGAGCACCCTGGCTGCACGCTGTCCAAGATGTAATTGGATTTTGGCAGTCCCTGGGATATTCCATATTCTTCACCACCACCAAAACGCAAAGACATCAATTCTTCTGTCATCCTTATTCATTGTCCAGCTCTCAGATGCATGGCAAGTGAGAATGAATATGGGATAGTATAATTACAAAGTCAGATGAGTATCCCTGAACACAAGTGATTCACATTGTTCCCTTTTCAGAAATTTTCAGTCTTCTCTGATTCCAGTTCTAAACCCCAGCATTCACTCTACTGCCTCCATTACTAATAGATTGAAGTCCAAACTTCTTAGTAGGCCAGAACGGAAGAACTTCTGGTTTGGACACAATCAGCCTTTCTTGGCTGTGTTGATGAGTTCTATTTTTTCCTCTAACCCCAGCACCCTTTTCCAACTTTTTTCCTTTACCCTGGGGAGATGGCATTTATTGATCATAAAGGGGCTCTTGTGCCCTCTTGCTTCATGTTGGGAAAGCCAAGGCAGAAGATCAAAAGTTGACAAGTTAATCAGGTCAGAATATATGTTTTCCTGGTTGTCCACTGAGAGAGACTGGCTATCCCTTTCCTTTCAAAACTATCTGTCCTTTGAGAATCTTGCTCCTTCTCTATTTCAGTATCTGCTCCTTTCCTTTATCACTTCTTTGAATGGTGGCATTTCTTCTGCACTGACACTTTGTCCTGACAGTATTCCCCATACCTTTGCATAAAGCCTAGTTTGAATTTGTGTGGGTTTTGTTGAACTCTAATATAGAGAATTCTATTATTTTTGTGTTAATCTTACCCTCCAGCCTCACTGGAATACTTATTAAAACATATCTTGTGATTTTATAGACATCTTGAGAATACCTTCCTTTACTTCTGTAATTTCCTTTAATATTCTTTTAAATGGCAGGAGCCCTGTGGGGACAGCCATATCTGACCTCTGCTAACTCTATAAAGAGGAACTTCCCCCATCAATGACACATAACACAAAACCTATTCCCAGGAGGTCAAACATCTCCCACATCCCCACACTTCTTTCCACTAATTCTAGCACCAATATTACTGTTCTGCTGGGTTGGAAATCCATTGCAATAGCTCACACAACACGTAGAATCATACTCAAGATTATGGGGTTTATTAGGGAAGTTAACAGGATACCATTTCAGTGGCAAAAGGATAGAATTTCTCAGTCAGGACACCTTCAAAAGCATGCTCAGAGACCCTTCAGCCTCACAGTTTTAGACCAGTGTTACAAAGCTCTTAGTCCTGTCAATTATGGCATCTCTCACCAAGTCCTCCAGCCAAGTTGGACGAAGGCTTCTAGCTCTGATTTCATGGAGTAGCAGTCGTACAGTCAGCTCTATCTTATGTTGGGTCTCTGCTTCCCTGCTGCAGCTGCAGCTGTGGCTGCTGCTATTCACCTGTGGGTCTGACTGGTACTATAATCTCTGACCCTTAGGGCCATGTACTGTATTCTCTGCATCTTTGTCAGTGGAGAGATTCTCAAATTCTGCTACTGAATGCACTCGATTTAATGGCAAGATTAGCCAATCCCGTGGTGGATAGGCTAATATACCTATCCATATATTCCCACTCATCCACACGACAAAGTCAAAGTCAAAATCAATGGCTAGGAAAGCCATTTTGAAAAGTAAACCCTTAACATCATATAACTTAAGTCTTTACAGTATTCACACAGGCCTAATGTGTATTTAGATATTTTAAGATTTTTCAAGGAGAAAGCATATGACCTAACTATGAATACTTATTAAAAGTATTACATAATTAGAGAAGTATATGTTAAACAATGTAGGGGTATTTTGTTTATTTTTTTAACTTTGTGGTTTAGGTAAAAGATTCTAACATGTTGATTGTATTATAAATCTTTAAAATGTATAGTTTACCATGCATGCTCAGGTTTGTTTGGCTTTTTTCTTCCATGGAGCATCATTAAGGGCTGCTTTTCCACAAGATACACTTTGAAAAATGAAGTCTATCTAACCTTGGGTGTTAATGTAAGAGCACAAAGCATTAAGTAGACATCAGTCTGATCATAACTTTTATGCACACAAAAAAAGTTTGCTTATGACAAAATTAGGTATTGCCTCAATAAGTGAAAAACTGTTATGAGATCACATGTGTGCATGGGTGAGTGTCTTTGTGGTGATTTAAATGATACTGTCCTGTAAACCGGGTGGCTCCTTGGAGGCAAGGATTCTGAGGCTCCGTCTAACATACTTTGGACATGTTGTAAGGAGAGACTGGTCCTTGGAGAAGGACATCATACTTGGGAGGATGGAGGGACAGTGCAGGAGGGGAAGACCCTCTATGAGGTGGATTGATTCAGTGACTGGGATAATCGGGATGGGAGTGTCAGAGACAGTGCGATTGGCACAGGACAGAGCAGAGTTTAGGGCTGTTGTACATAGGATCGCTATGAGTGGCAAGCGACTCGACGGCACATAACAACAACAACAACATCCTGTTCTCATTCTCAGTTGTATATATACAACTTCCTAGAACCCAGAGCAGTTTCTTCTGAGATGAAAAATCAGTACATAATCATCTCTTTGGTTGAGAGATACATGCTTAGCCCAAAAACCAGTTCTTTCTTAATATTCAAATTCACCAACTGTTCATGGAAAGAAAATGGGCAGTCTTCTCCTGGGTGCCCTGTAGCCTCTGAAAACCCTCTGGAGGGTCAGCTGTAAGTCACTTCTAACTGGATGGCAATGAGAGTTGAGTTTTTACAAAATATATATAACCTTTTAATAACCCTTAGATTTTGTTTCTCTGAGATTATAATTTATAGAGTATTTTACAGAAAAATAAATGTTTTGTATTAATATATGTAAAACATTATTATGGGTCTTACTACTATTACTGAACATATCCAGTCCTTATTCCCTTCATGATATACTGCAAAAATGTGTTCTTCTTGAAGCTAACCTGTTTTTTGGTTTGTTTGTTTTTAGGGCGACTCTTAGTAACAAATTTAAGAATTATCTGGCATTCTTTGGCATTGCCCAGAGTCAATCTTTGTAAGTATCTTTGTTAGAGAACTTCAAAAGAAAAAATAATCCTTTGTCAAGTAAATTATTATACTTGCATGGTAACTTTTGACACTGAAAAAATTATACTATGACATATGTCTTAAATTGTTAAGAACACAAAAATCCTAACGTCACAGATGGTATCATAATATACAAGAAATATTTCATACTACTTATTGTTTTGTCTCTATCTAAGATATTAGAATTTTTATACTGAATAATATTTTGTTTTATTGAGGGAAAGATTTTTTTACATGTTCTGTTTTTTGCATATTTTTGACAATTTGCTATAAGTTGTTTCTAGTACAAGTTGTCCACAGTTTACAACAGGGTTCCATAAATTGATTCTGATGTAAGTCAGATACCTTATTTCAGATCAATAACTGATGCTTCTCGTGATACAAAGCAAGGAATAAAACCACGCTATAGGTCTGGTCTATAGTGAGGTCAGTGTCATAAAAATAAGGTTGGAATTATAATAGCTGTCTGGCACATGAACAGCTCAAGTGTGTTTTGTTTGGTTGTTAGTTAATTTTCTATCCATTATGACTCCTGACACCAATTCCAGTTTCAATGTTGACCAGGTCAGTCTGATCTGCCATATACAGTTGACTATACCATAGTGTACTGTACAGCAGGGTTTTGAACAATGAATCATAAAATTGAACATCTAAGGATGATATCAGCAAATAATGTCCTACAAATTAACATGTCATACTTATTATTGATATTTATAATAAATTTTTTTTAGTGAAAGTGTACAGAAAAGTTAGATCTGTATTCATTCATTCATTATTGCACATTTTACCTCCCTCTCTCATTCCCCTCCCCCAGTTCCTTTTATTTTTTTAAACTATTCATTCGTGGTTGCACAATTAACCTCCCTCTTCTTCCTCCCCACCCCAGTCCTTTTTGCAAGGTACCTCTTATTCTGGGCTGTTGTCGTATGTATAATTTCTAATCATATATTCCTTTTAAACAGTTTTTTCTAATGATAAGATATTTAGAAACAAAACACAACACCTCTGTTAAGTGCAATTCATTACACCTCAAAGACGTTATAAGTCCATGACTGCATCTAATACCCAGGAAAGGAGACTTAAATTCTAATAAAATTAGTATATGAATGGAAATCCAAAAATCTTTTAAAATGTTCATTAAAATTAATAAAATAAAATTTACAAAAAAATTAATAAACATTTCCCAAAAAATGAATATTAGACCTTGCACCTAAACTTTTTCTTTTGATAGAGTAATTCCAAAATTTTCAGTAGATAATGCTGTAATGGTTTCAGCAAAGCAAACTTTCCCCATATCATAAATTTTTTCATTGACTTAAGGAATCAGAGATGACTCTCTAGTTCTTTTAATTATTTGAAATTTGCAACTATTTTAAAAACCTTAATAATTGTCTTTATGTTGCATTTCTAAAACTTTGCATTTCTATATATATGACTTTTAGATACTATTTTCAATTTAGTTTATCATGTTCTCTAAATTCTTTGCTTTTAAATTTTAGCTGTTGGTTACAACTGCATATTGAATATTACAACAAGGACTGCTAACTCTGTAAGTCTGAAAAATCTTAAGGAAATATATATCGTCAAAAAACAGGTATTTCAGACATTTATGATTTCACTGTAAATGAGATGTTGATCTTAAATGTGAATTTGTCCTTACAGAAATTACGAGGCCAAACTGAAGCTCTTTATATACTAACAAAATGTAATAATACTCGTTTTGAATTTATATTTACAAATGTGGTTCCTGGAAGCCCTAGACTTTTTACTTCTGTGATTGCAGTACACAGGTATAGTAATACTTTATGAATTATTAAGTATTTTTAAAGCAATTCTATAATAATAAAGGTTTAGAAAATAAAGTATAGAAGTTTGGTGCTGTCTTTATGAAATATCCTAAAGGCTTCTTTGGAAGAACACATTTCATTTTCTTTGATAAGTGCTTTAAAGATTTTTGTAAAACGTGCTACTATTGAAGATTCATAAAAATTTCTACTGAAGACTATTAAATTTGCTGTCAGGGTAGGTAAAGAGAATTGGAGAATTTATTCAATGTAGGTAATGAAGTTGGATAATTCATTAATTTAAAAAGGGTTTTTTGGCAATTGAAAACATATCTGGGGATTTTTCCTAAAAAAAAGATGTCCTTATGGGTTTTGATTCTTTGTTAAATTATTTTCTTTTTCTCACTACCTTGGCACTCTCTTGCTCAATAGTAATTTGGTGAGTTTGTTTTTTTTCTCCTCTCTCTCTCTTTTTAATTGGCCCTAATTACGATGATTTTTTCCCCAAAGTTTAACTCAAGTGATCATCAGAAAAATGACAATATACAGTTCATTGATTTCTAGCAGTCACAGGGCTGTGCAGTTGTCACCACTGTCGAATTTCTGGTCTTTGTCAGCACTGTAATGAGAGACTTGTCAGCAGTCCCTAAACCCTAAACATTTCCTTCTCCCAACATCCTCTGGCACCCACTAATTTACCTTCTGTCATTATGTACTTTCTTAATGTATTTGCTTCTTGTGGACATTTCATAAAACTTTTGGTAATCCGATTAGATACATTAATTGGGCTGCTTTTTATATGTAGTAAAATTATTGTTGTTGGATGCTGTCGAGTCCATCCATTTTCAGCTCACAGTGACCCGATGTGACAAAGTAGAACTTCCTCCTTTTCCTTTCTTTTATCTTTATGGGAGCAGTTTGCCAGGCTTTTTTTCCTGCAGTCACTGAATGGGTTCAAACTGGCAACCTTAGAGTTTACAGCTGAGCACTTAACCATTGTGCCACTAGAGCTCTTTGGAATAAAATCAGAGTCCAGAAATGAAACTTTATCCAGGAACTGTTCGTATATTTAGTGTTTATTAAACTAAACACACAATGAAAACAAGCATGGAGATTTTATACATATTCTCACGCCCGATTGTTATATACAGTCATTGTTTTTGTTTAAGAAGGTCTGTTTCCTTTCATTTGTGCTGTATGATACATATTGCCTTAAAAATTAGAGTTCTAAAAAAATAGATTACTGAGAAAGAACTTCAATAAAATAGAAACTAAAGTACATACTAAAAATGATAAATAATGAAAATCTATTAAAAATTCCTATTGTCAGAATCCATTAAAATTTTCTATAGTAATTATTGATATGACATACATAAAGAATAACAGTTACATATTTTAAATAGTAAAGTAAACATAACCTAAGAAACCACATTTCATATTTGGAATGACATTCTGTTTTTTTTTAATAGAGCTTATGAAACTTCTAAAATGTATCGTGATTTCAAGTTAAGAAGTGCACTGATTCAAAATAAGCAACTAAGATTATTACCACAAGAACATGTATATGATAAAATCAATGGAGTATGGAATTTATCCAGTGACCAGGTATTATGCAAAGAATTAAAATATCTTTTGAGACATGACTTTTAAGTCATTTTTTTCATTCACCTTTGGGATGTTATATTCATTCAACTCAGTAAATAAGAACTGCAGCTTTTGACATGAAATAAGTCAGTATGCAAACAACGGGTCTTGATGTGTCTCTCATTATTTTCTTTAACAGGGAAATTTGGGAACCTTTTTTATTACCAATGTGAGAATTGTGTGGCATGCAAATATGAATGACAGTTTTAATGTCAGTATACCATATCTGCAAATTGTAAGTGCTTATAGTTTATTGTCACTCTTATTATAATATTAATGTAATTTCTGTACAGTAGTTCACAACTTTTGAGAGTAGATGTGTTCACTCACTTTTGAAGCAATTATTAGCTGACTGTGCTCTTTACCATTTTAACATAGAAAAACCAAGTAGTATTTAGAGTCAAGCAAAATAACACCATTATCAATTTGAGATTAAGAGAAAAATATACTGGATTCTCAAAATAAAATGGTGAGACGTTGTTGCCAGGGCTGTAATCGCTGCAGTTTTCCAGATGCTTTCCATGAGATGGGTGTATGGTGTTACGGGCTAACATACTAAGTCACATAATTAATCTTGACAGTTATCAGAACCTTTAAAAACTAGATTAACTTGTTTTATGAATTAAGCTATTTCATCATATTTGAATGTAACTCAGGCTGAGTTTGTACTGTGAGTTTACTGAAAAAGAATTATGATGTTTTTACTGATCAATCTTTTAGCATAGATTCAATTAAAACTAATAACATTTAGAATAAGAACTGAAACCAGTTTGTTTTAGTAGGAAGTAAAGTTGATTTCTTTTCACTGTAGCTGTAATATGATTCAGTGAAAATAATAATCAGTTCTAATAAACTGAAGGATTGTATGAACAGAAACTACTTGATAAGACTCTAGTTCTTACCTAGTTCAATTTATGGGCTTAAACATAGTGGAGTGTGTGTGGATGGCACAGATTAGGCAAGGTTTCAATCTGTTGTATGTGGGAAGGCACCTAATGACAGTGCAAATTAGATGGAACGTAAAATTGGTTATTAAAAATGCCAAAAGATTTTTCTATGATAATTGCTATTTTTGTAGGATGTAAGTAGCTTTAAAACATTAGTCTTGTAGAAATTTATTGAGTAGATTTATGCATGCAAGATCAGGAACTTAAAAGAAAATCTCAGAAGGATAATTCCTTGCACAATACTCTCAAGTCCATCTTTTGCTAAATTGTTTGATTCTAAGTACATCATATATGTATAATCATTCACTCATTTGCTTAGTATTGAACTCCTACTGTGTACATATAGCTAGAGATAGAATCATGAAAATCACCAACCTACAATGTCTGCAATCAAGGAGTTTTCGATACTTGGTTGGGGGAAGCACATTAAACAAGATCATAGAAATGGACAGGAAGAAATCTATTCCTGCATCTAAAACATATAGAAAAATTTATAATCAAGACTGCAAAGGTATAACAAACAGTCTGTATAGTTTGACAAATTGGTGTATGTTTTCATTATTTTTTATAGTTCATTTATATGTGTTGTAGCTTACCTAACCTCTATCATACTTAATAATTACTGAATCATAAACAACCCTGTGCTTTCTGTTTTTTAAATAGGATAGTTTTGTTATTTAAGAATTGTTGTTAGGTACTGTCACATCAGTTCTGACACATACCAACCTATGTACAACAGGATGAAACCCTGCCTAGAACAGTGCCAGCCTCACAGTTGTTTGAGCCCATTGGTTGCAGCCACTGTACCAGTCCAGCTCATTGTTGATCTTTTTTTTTTTTAGATTCTTATTTGTTAATTTTTTTTTTTCACTGACCCTCTATTTTATCTAAAGTGTCATTCCCTTCTCCAGGGCCTGGTCCCTCCTCATTATATATCCAAAGTACATGAGAGGTGCTCACATCTTCACTTCTAAGGAGCATCTGGCTAAATAAGGCCTCTGGAAGGAATTCAGCCTGGCCCAACCAACTTGTAATCTGATATCTTGACAGTGTGTCACTGCAGCAGTCATGTTCTAACTTCAGCTCTAAGCCTTAGCCATTGCTTTGGCCCCACCCATACATATAAACTTCTGCTGCTTTCTTTTCTTAATCAGCCTGGACACATAGTCACCTAGATTGCCTTTTGTACCTAGATTACTTTTTGACATCTAGGGTGCTGATGTTCATGGTTTTTAAGATGTGAAGAAATTTATATAGAAGATCAGGTTTAAGAAACAGCTATCATTAAGCTATTTTATTATTATTATTATTATTAGTGTGTGTACCGTCAAATCAGATCTAACTGGTACAGGAGGAGATTGTTCCTCCTTCAGCAGAGCATCTGGTGGATTTGAACTTCACACCTCTGGGATTGCAGTGCAGCTTCTTGCCACTAGGCCACCAGAGCTCACCTATCATTAAGCTTTTATCTCTATCACTTTCTCATACCCATCTATATGGATGTATGGCATGCCTTCTCATGCCACATATTAGATATGAAAGCCTTTTCTGGGTTGTTTTTTTTTTAATCTTCTGGTCATAACGTTAGACCCTGCACAGTCCCGCCCTTACTCTGCTAGAAAGTACATTTTGTGCCACTTTCTGTACTCACTTTTCTGTACTCTGGCCCTGCCTCTTGGTTATCACACCTTCATATCACATTTACCTTTTGATGTTAATTACATTTCTTCTACCCCTGCCTTATCTAATATTCTGTGAAACTTTCAGAAGGCAAAAAAAAAATTGTACCAATTAATATTTGTTAGATTGTTATAGCAGAAAAACTAAATAGAATTACACTTAGAGTAATAATTTTTGACTGTTAATAAAATTGATAGTTTTATTTTTGTGTGTATATTTTAGAATTACTACTATAACTTTTGCCTTTAAAACGAGCCTAAAATAATTAGTATAATAGCTGACTGCTTATAAACATTTAAAAAAAAAAAAGGAATGTAGGTTCTTTAAGAACTTAGTCTCCAGGGAGCTCTGGTGGCCTAGTGGCAAGAAGCTGCAGTGCAATCTCAAAGGTGTTTAGTTCAAGTTCAGCAGATGCTTTGCTGAAGGAGGGGAATCTCCTCTTGTGCCAATTGGATCTGATTTGATGGTACACAACAAGAAAGAAAGGGGAAAAAAAGAACTTAGTCTCCTGAGATGTGAGACATGGAAGGCATATATGCCATTTCCTAGCTTAGCCTTAGGAGCCACAAACGACAATAGCTGAAAGATTGCTGGCCCTTTATTTAAAACAAGTTGCTGGCTGTCTGCTTGTGAAAGTATATTTGAATCAGGAATTTTGTATATATTTCAGACATATCTCTTTTTATTGCTTTTTCATCTGCCACTTTTCTGTACATTTACTTTATTTCTGTTGGGGAGAAATGAACAAGGAAGTTTGTTCTTAAATGTCAGTTTTAAAGATTTCTGTGTGTGTGGTGAGCTTTGGTGGCCTAGTGGCAAGAAGCTGCACTGCAATCCCAGAGGTGCATGGTTCAAATCCACCAAATGCTGTCCTGAAGAAGGAGGGACAATCTCCTCCTGTACCAGTCAGATCTGATTTGATGGTACACATGAAAAAAAATAATAAGTTTTTTTTTAAAATTTTTTTAAAAGATTACTGTGTGAAAGTTTCTATAACTTGTATATGTTTCTATAATTTGTCACTGCTACCAAATAATGAAAAAATGCATTTTTGTGTTTTCTCTTTTATTTTTCATCTAGCGTTCAATAAAGATTAGAGATTCAAAATTTGGTTTAGCCCTTGTCATAGAAAGTTCTCAGCAGGTAAGATGCTTTACATCTTTATTAATCTTTGGTTTTTAAGCTGTATCATAGTCTAGATTTTCTGTTTAGCTTACATAATAATTTTTTTACAACAAGAAAATATTAGTTGTGGTGTTTAAGAAGGATTTGAAGTTTTAGTGTAATTATACCCATAGAAAGATTCTTGTTTGTTCATTCATTATTTTTTTTGTTCAGATGTTATTGTCATCATATTTATTATTAATGCCAGTATTAAGTCACTGAGGAACCCGGCTGGTACAGTGTTTAAAGTACACAACTGTGAATCATGGTCAGTGTTCCCAAACAGCCTGCCATTCCAAGGGAGAAAGACATGGCTATCTACTTACATACATATTTCCAGCCTTGCAAACACTATGGGTCACTACAATTCTGTCTCTTAGGATCACTGAAGTCAGAACTGACTCACCAGCAATAGGCTTAGGTGTTAAGTCACTGTGATAGAGACTTTCCATGCATTAATCTTTTCAGATCTATAATAGGTTTACTGTGTTGTCCACATTTTAAAGTTAGGGAAACAGAATCCCAGAAAGGCTAGGAAGGAACATTGCTCATGATCTCATAGCTAGAAATTGGTGGGGCCAATCTTGGTTCCAGGTCTGACTCTTTCCCAGGACTGCCTTTGAGAAACAAAGATAGTTATAGACATATAAAATTTATTTAAGATTTATTCAACTTAAAAACTATAATTTGGAAATTTGTGACTTTAAAAGATACAGAAAGTAGGTTTCCCAGCATCACACATTACCAAAGCAGAATTTGAATTCAGAAACATTTGCTCTTAACCCAAAGCATATATTCTCACCTGTATGGTATATAAATGAATATTATGTATTTTAATATATAAATGAATACTTCTTTTTTTTTCCTACCTAGAGCAGGAAATATAATACTCACTCATCTCCGTCTGGTCACATTTCTAATTCTTTAAGATAGCCTCAGATTGTTGCTTGTCTTCTTTTAAAGTATAGCCTATTTTTTTAAAATAGCCTAACTCAAGAAAAACTTAATTCACTTAGTCTTCATAATGTATAGTTTTTGTTTTGTTTTGCTTTTATCTTTAAAAAAAATCAGCTTTTCTTTTTCACTTCCAGATAAAATGATAGGGTATCTGAATAGCATTCAAAATAAAGTTCTGTGTGTGGTTGGGGGGAAATTTACAGATTAAACAAAATTGACCACATGGTTATTTGGTGAAGCTGGATGGTAGTTATTGGAGGTTCATTATATTATTCTATTTTTGTTTGTCTTGTATTTTTCATAATCAAATTAAAAATTCATTACTTATTATTTTCTAGAATAAGTATAATATAAGCTATTGTTTTTCACATATTATTCTTTAGTTCCTTTTCTTTCTTCCTGCAGAGTGGAGGCTATGTTCTTGGCTTTAAAATAGATCCTGTGGAAAAATTACAAGAATCAGTAAAGGAAATCAATTCACTTCACAAAGTCTATTCAGCTAGTCCTATATTTGGAGTGGATTATGAAATGGAAGAAAAGGTAATTTATGCAGTATGTGAAAAAAAAAAGTTTACTAAACTGCTTTTATAAAATCTGTTGTTTAGACCTGAATACTTTGTGTACAATTTAATTTTAAACTATTTTCATAAAAAATGAATACAGTTTCTGCTCAATAAGTACAATCCTACACCCTGACTAATTTGTACTTGCAGCCTGTCCTAACTGCTTCATCTCTCATTCTTGATCTGCTAATCTCAGTTAACATGTTATCTATATAAGTTATCAAATTTTATTACTCAAAATTATTTTTTATAGAATATCAGTGACACAGTAGTTTAAGACTTTTGAGTGGTTACTATAGGTGAAGAAAATTCTCAAATCTTAGTTTACTAAAATTGCTTGATTAACATTATGTCTCTGATGCATTTTTTACATGTACTCATTTTTAGCCACAGCCCCTTGAAGCCTTGACAGTTGAACAAATTCAAGATGATGTAGAAATAGACCCCAGTGATCACACAGACGCTTTTGTGGTGAGCATCATAATGTAGAGTATGAAATGTCTTAGGGTTTCTGTCTGAGTCCCATTTCCATAGATAATGATTTTAAGTCTGTTAATCACTGTAGCACTTGAGACTTGAGAACATATTAAACACTAAGTTGCAGAATTTTGTTTTGCTCATTATATGAGAGAATTTCTTTTGTAGAAATACTTTTCATTTACCAAACTGAGAGATAGTTTGGGAACATAATCAGGGAATTTAGATTCATGAAAAGTTTTTCAAATCTTATAGTAATTGAACATGTTAAAAATTAAAGTTTAAATATAATTAATAGTTAAGAATAGTTGAAAGATAATTTAAAAATCCACACATTCTGTAATTAATCTTCAATTTAGAAGTAGTTTTTATGATAAGGACCTGCCTTTGACAAACTTTTTTGTTTCCAAGAAACTGGTGTTATTTAATTAATAGCCAAAATTATAAGTTTTTCTCCATACTTTGGTCTATATATGTCACTATATTACTCCTCTGGAAACAAATATTTTTAAGAAAAGATATTAAAATTACACAATAAGTTTAATTAAAAACTGCTTCTGTCTCTACCTGAGCATTTGTTGATACATTGGAGCACTCTTTGATTTATTAGATTTTTTCCCCCTTTATTTGCTAGTATCATCTGCTAAACAAAAAGTAGGGAATACCTTTTAGAGCTTTAGGGTCATTATTTTTTTTTAATCTGTTTTCAAGTTAACAGTGCTAATTACACAATAATTACAAAGTGCATTTTTGTAACTTAAAGCATAGTTTTTATAAACATTACAAATAATTGCTAGAAGTATTCTGCTATCACTAATACAGATACTGTGAGAAAACCGTTAGATACAAATTAAGAGAATGTGAAATACTTTCAGTTACAAAATCATTCTGTAAATTTATTACCTGTTTCTTAATCCATTGTTCTACTTCAGTATTAAGTGTTGAATATAATGCTATGTATGATTTTCCCCCCATAGGCTTATTTTGCTGATGGCAACAAGGTAAGCACATTTCATCTATAGTATGTGAAAAAATTTCTGTATTTGATCATTTAGTATTCACAAACTTATGTGAAACCTATTTTGTTTTTTCCTCTTCTTGCCCCTCTTCTCTATTCCCATCTCAACCTCTTATCTTCCCAAAAGCAACAAGATCGTGAACCTGTATTTTCAGAAGAACTGGGGCTTGCAATAGAGAAATTGAAGGATGGATTCACCCTGCAGGGACTTTGGGAAGTAATGAGTTGATCTTGAGTTGAACTGGATTTCTCTTTAAGAAATATCTCAAGATTAAAGATGCTAGTTGCCTGGTTTAAGGCATGGAATAGTTTTACATTTACAGAAAAAACTTAAAGAAAGAATTTCTTAATTATTAAGGGAATACTCACTTATCTAAGATTTTATTGCAAGTTTTCTAAAATTTATATTTAAAATTGTAATTTAAATGTATCTAGTTTGTAAATATGTTTGTTTTGTATGTAATACTGTAAATTGTTTATAGATATTAAATGACTATCATGTTCAGTTTAATAAAGAACTTATGCAGCACCATTTAATGTTTTGAAAGTTTTAATTATTTAAAAGGATAACTATTCCTTTAAAAGAATTTTCCTATACAAAAATAAAAATACAGCTTTTCTTTTTTTAAAAAAAAATACAGCATTTCTATTATAAAAATCTGGCTTAAGTATATCTAACTGTGACAAATAACTAGTAAAAAGCAATCTGATAAAAGTTATGACCCTTAAGCCTATCATCTTTAAAAGAATATTTTTATAAAAACTAAAAATTATGATGTCTGAAGTATATTGGCCCTCATGTAATGTTTGAAGAACTACATTGTGATTAAATATCATTTTGGCAATACTACATACCTTAGGGAATAGTTTTCTTTATTAAATTTTTCTCTATTTACATTCACTGAAACATCCTTAAGTTTTTTAAATTAAGGCATTTCTGAGTTCTTAGTTAAGTAGGTGACCTCTCTAATGTCATTCAGTGATGGGTGGTGGTTTTTGGCCACAGCGTAAATGTAAAAACATCATTTGAAGAATCCTTTGTGAAATCATTAGCCAAATGAGCCAACCTTCTTCTAAGAAAAAGAAGTGGATGTGTAAAAACGTTTAAAATAAGCTACAACCTATATGTGCATCCATAAACACATAGTACATCCCATAGAATGCTCTGGGCTTATTAAAAAAAACAAAACAAAAATGCATTGTCTCACATTTCTGGAGACTAGTAATAAAAAAAAAATCAATGTGGGAAAGTTATAAATTGGCTTCTTCATGTAAATGAAGAATAACTTCTATATTTTTGAGAGATGAATTATAATAAAAAAATCTATATAAGAAAAAATAGATTATTTGAAAAATTTTAGCCGGAAGTCATCTACTCCCAGGATTAATGTTTAAATACTGTATTTTAAGCCAAAGAAACTATATAATTGCTCACTAGTCAGAAATAATCTCAAATGTCATATATTTGCATCTGACTCATTAATCTTTTCAAATGTTAAGTGTTACATGTCGAGAGAAATGAGTCATTTATTGTTTAAATAAGAGTGCAGCTGTTAGTTTTTTCTAGTGTGTTAAAACCTTGAGGGCATCTATAAATGGAAAAAGAGTCAATGAGCTCTTCTTTCAGCTGTTGTTTCAGCAGCTGACAGTACCATTGACTTCACTGTGATGTAAAACAAAGAAAAAAACTATTACTTGTGGTTAGAAACCCAGCATAACACTATTGGAAGCATTTGGGAAGATTCACTTATTCCACTAATACTTAGATGCTGTGGCTAGAATATTGACCAAAATGGGGTTTTTAAATATATATATAATTTTAAAAAAAAATCAAGCTCTGTCTTCATGACCCTTACAACAGATTCCAGTATGTCTGACATTTATAATACTTGTACAATTTCACTGATAATCAGGATATGTAACAATATGTCTGTGTAACAAGTACTTCATGAAGGATTAGACAGTGCTTTCTATAATAAAGGAGCCCTGGTGGTGTGGAGAGAGAGTGCTGGTGCTGCATTGGTTAAGTACTGGGCTGCTACCTGGAAGATTGGTGGTTCAAACCCACTACTTGTTCCATGGAAGAAAGATGTGGGAGTCTGCTTCCAGGAATAGTACAGCTTTGGAATCCTGATGGATGTTTCTGCTCTGTTCAATAGCTTCTCAGTGAGCTGGGATTTACTCCATAGTGACGAGCTGGGTGGTAACGGTGACTAACAGCACAGCTACGAATCAAAGTCTGGCAATTTGACTCACTAGCCTCTCCACACAAGGATGTCCTAGTGAGCCTCTTTAAAGATTTATAGCATTCAGAGCCCGGTAGGCAACTCTGTTGTGTCCTCTAGGGTGTCTGTGGGCTTGAACTGACAACAGTGGGATATATACTTTCAAATCTTGACTCCTGGATTTTATAATTAATAGGGTGTTCTATTAAAAACAACATTGTGATTCCAGTTCTGTATATTTCTCCCTCATAAGTCTTGTTTTCCAAATTACACAATAAGCCTCAACCAAATGAAAGAAAGACGTAGAACAAGAGTCAAAGAGCGAGCTTACTCTTGTGTGATAGATACTGGTGGAACCCTTGACACTATGGCCCTTAGATACCCTTCAAACTTGAAACTGAACCCACACTTGGGAATCATCTTTCAGAACTATAATGTGAGCATATTACCCAGGAAGAACTTTGCCTAAAACAAAGCCCTCCCTCAACAATAATAACAGAGCCAGAGGAGGGGCAGGAAAGAAGGGTGAATGGAAAAAAGACTCCTAGGGAGGAAGTTGGAAGAGTGATGTGACACTGAAGAGATTACAGCTAATGTCTTGAAGAAGACAAACAGAAATATATGAATTGTTGAAAACTAATTTGCTTTGTAAACTTTCAGTTAAACCACAATGGGGATGGAAAGCTTTCCAACATCATTGAAATACAATTGTTAATAATCACTAAAAATCAACCAAAACAAGTTGTACAGTGAAAATACCATTTCATTCTGAAGGTGCTATGCTCTGTTGATAACATTGTTATTTGGGGGGGGGTTTATATCTGTGCTTTTAAAAATTATTTTGTAAAAAAAATTATAAAAGATAATTTTAACACTTAAAAATAGAATCAATTTAGTGATCAAGTGAATAGAGGTGTTTTGGTCTTGGTCCTGATTTTCAGCTCTTTTCTTTCTTAGGTGTTTTTGCTGTTCTTGGTGATGCCTTCTTTTCTTTGCCTCTACTTTCCTCTATTTGTTTTTAATTGTGACCTCAGATCCTTATAGACCAAGCAAGGTGTGAATAGGTTGAATGATTTTAGAATTTAATTCCATAAAAATTGTAATTTTTCACCTGCAAGTGAAGATAGTTTAGAATGCCTTTGGAGATTAGTAGCTACTCTGTTACTTAAAATTATGCTAGAGGTACTATTTTCAAGATTATTTTTAAACTATAATTATAGCTCATAACGTCAAAGTCTTTAAAAGAAAATACAAATACATGACCCAGTGTTTTAAGTAGAAAATAAAGAAATAAGTGTGTGGCATTTTTTGGAAAGGGTATCTTGCTTATGAGTATTCAGATGAGCTCACCTCATATTCTTGACCTTTGCATCATTATTTCGGTTAGCTTCTCAGACCAGCATTAGAGGACTGACTAATGTCTGTGATTCAATTTTGATTAATCCAGTGAACATTTTCTTGGGGTATAACCATTATTAGCATATCTTCTAAGGCTGTATGCATTTTAAAGCTTTCCATTGAAGTGCCTTATTTCTTAGCTGTTTTCTTGGTGATCAAAAGTTCCAGTTGTCCTTTCAATTTCTAACAGCTGCGAGAACAACTCTTCTTTCCAAACCAGCTCTAATAAATTCCCGTTGTTAGAGTTGGTATCTATATTTAGCTGGTGGGATTAAATTGCAAAGGCTTGAAGCTGGGCAGAGCACACGCATCTGCCTTTTTACGGCTAGACCTGTGCGCTGCAAGGAGCTAAGGCCTTCAGTGTCCCCTTCCTCACCCAGGTTACTCACAACATGGATTCTCAGCGTGAACTTGCAGAGGAACTGCGGCTTTACCAATCCACCCTTCTTCAGGATGGTCTAAGAGATCTCCTGGATGAGAAAAAATTCATCGATTGCACCCTAAAAGCAGGTGACAAGAGTCTCCCGTGCCACAGACTGATTTTGTCAGCTTGTAGTCCGTACTTCCGTGAGTATTTTTTATCCGAAATTGAGGAGGAGAAGAAAAAGGAGGTAGTCCTAGACAATGTGGATCCTGCTATGCTGGAATTAATCATCAGGTACCTCTACTCTGCCAGTATTGATCTTAATGATGGCAATGTGCAGGATATTTTTGCATTGGCCAGCCGGTTTCAGATCCCTTCAGTGTTCACTGTCTGCGTTTCTTACCTCCAGAAAAGACTTGCTCTTGGGAACTGTTTGGCCATCCTAAGATTAGGTCTCCTCCTGGACTGCCCAAGACTGGCCATTTCCGCCCGGGAATTTGTGTCAGATCACTTCCTGCAGATTTGTAAGGAGGAGGATTTTATGCAGCTTTCTCCACAGGAACTGATCTCAGTCATTTCAAATGACAGCCTAAATGTCGAAAAAGAAGAACTAGTGTTTGAGGCCGTGATGAAATGGGTACGAACAGACAAAGAAAACAAGGTCAAAAGCCTTAGTGAAGTGTTTGATTGCATCCGCTTTCGCCTGATGACAGAAAAATATTTTAAAGATCATGTTGAGAAAGACGACTTAATTAAAAGCAACCCTGAACTCCAGAAAAAAATCAAAGTCCTAAAAGATGCTTTTGCAGGCAAACTTCCAGAGCCTAGCAAAAATGCAGACAAGAGTGGGACAGGCGAAGTGAACGGTGATGTAGGAGATGAAGATTTACTTCCTGGTTACCTGAACGACATTCCCAGGCATGGAATGTTTGTCAAAGACCTCATCCTTATGGTGAATGACACGGCTGCGGTGGCTTATGACCCCACAGAAAACGAGTGCTACCTGACGGCCCTGGCTGAGCAGATTCCCCGGAATCATTCCAGCATTGTAACTCAGCAGAATCAGGTGTACGTGGTAGGAGGGCTGTATGTGGATGAAGAAAATAAGGATCAGCCTCTTCAATCGTACTTCTTCCAGGTAAGACAGACTCTTTTTCTAGAATTAGAGACACTGAGAAAAGTCTATTATTGCTCACCCTCCACTGAGCCAGTTTGTGAGTTATTCAGATGACTTGCCTTTTATTCAGATTGATGTCCTCATCCGCGCATACTTAATCTATTTAGAGAATTGACAGAGAAAGGTGTTTAAATCTGTTAATTTGGCTCCTTGTTAATATTTAGTAAAGTGGGAGTGTTTAAATAGAATAAGAAATGGTAACGAGATTTTTAAAATAATATTTTACAAAAAAATAGTTTTTCTAGTTGCTAACCATGATCCTTCGAAGCCCAATATTTTCCTACAATTCAGATTCAGTCTTAGTAGTGTGTCCCCCTAAAACAAAGTGCTGTACACATTGCAAAGACACAATAGTTGGTCATATTTATAACTTTTTCCAAGTGTCTTTGAACTGATTTGAAATTCTTAGAAATAAAATTTCACATCTTATTTATGATTATTGCCTAAAATATAAGTGTTGAAAATGTCAAGAAATTATATACATAGTCTACATACTTTGGATCACTTCCCAGAAAAGATTTATCTTCACATGTGGTACTAGTTTGAATTGAGTATATTTAGTAGTTTTATTTTATCACGTTTGGCTTAGAGTTGTTTTTAGACATTATTCCAATTTAGCAATCTATTTTGTGAAACTACATAAATTTCTGAAAAAAATTTAATAGGGTCATGGTAGTTTGTTTGAAGGGAGTTTCTATCACATGATCAATCCATTATACTTTGTTAATTTATGAAGCAAACAATGACAACTTTTAGCTTTAATAATGCCAGTACCAGTGCTTTGTAAGTTTCAAAAGATTTTGTGTTATTTCATAGTTAATCATGGCCTCAGGGGCTTATGGGCACTTGAGTTGAAAAGGCCAAAGATAAGTAAGTGTAGAGTATCATACCATATGACATACTAAGCATTCACCAAATTCTACCTCTAATCAGCTGCTTCTAATCTTGAAAATACACGTTAGTCATGCTGCTTAATTTTCAGAGTTCTAGTGAAGAATGAATTAGAAAAGGAAAAGCCGTCATCACTAAGTATTTATGTACAGACCAGAAAATGTCCTAATCCTTACATTTAAAGTCATAGTAACTTCTGCTAAATCCACTGATACTGCTCATTACTACACATTGCCATAGAGTCAGAAATGACTCATAACTGACTCTCCAGCTGATTCTGAGAGGTTGTAAACTAGCACGGGAGGAAATCGCCTGCCACTGAGATAGGTTCTAAATATATTCAGGACATTAAAATTACAGCAAAATGTGGATGGATGGACAGGTGAATAGATGGATATTTAGGAATCATAAATCTAAACAACAGTCAATGTCTTAAAATAATACCTAAAAACCCTCTAAAATGTCTTTTTATTCCACATTTCATATCTACTGCCTAGTCCCTTTCCTAGACAAGTTTAATCAGGAGTTTAACCTTTATCTTTATTCTCTCATTCTATTACCACCCTTTTATTAGCATGTCTTTTCATTCATAAGAAAATCTGCTTAATATTATTTTCCTATAGCAGTTATACAAAGTTGTCAGGATTAATTTACTATGTTAATCCTGCAGCTGGAGTGCTTTTGGAGACAAGGACAATGAGCCTTCGCCTCACATACTTCAGACATGTTGCTAGAAGGGAATATTCCTTGGAGAGGGACATGATGCTTGCAAGGGTGGAAGGTTGGTGAAGGAGAGGAAGACTCTCAGTGAGGTAGATTGACACCGTGACTGCTGCAATGGGCGCTAGTGTGTCAGGAAGTGTGACGATGCCACAGGATAGGACAGGGTTCAGAGCTGTTGTTCATAAGGTTGCTATGAGTCATACTTGATCGACAGACTTAACACCACCACCATATACCTTGCTGATTTTAAAAGACCCAGTAGTAGAAGACAATAAGATCAGGATAAAAAGACCAGAAAAAAACCAAGACTATAACTTGTAAGCCATATTTTAATGAGATTTAAGGTTTTTGTACTTTTCTGCTCAGTTATTGCTACTTATTTGACAATATTATTAATTTAAGGATAATTTGATCCTTGATTCCACAGGGTCAAGTGAGATTATAAACTATTATCCAAATAAATAAGGTTTAAAAAAAATAGAATAGTAATTAAAAATTTTTATCAAGCAAAGTCTTAAGTAATCTAGTACAGATCCTAATTTTAAGGAAACTGGAGCTCAGAGAAGTGAAATAGTGGGACCAGCATCAAACAGCTCAAATCCAGATGCCCTGTTGTCCACTGCTGTGTGTGCTTAGGGAGGCAGAGAACACTGTACAACATGGGAATCCAGCCCTCAGGCTTAGGAATGTGGTGGCTGCTGTTGCCACTTTTTTGAAACAAACTTTATTTAGGTAGTTTGGATCTATCTGAATACACTCTAAACCTCGGGCAAGTTCAAATCTATCTGTACTTAAGAGTCTTCATTTGTGAAAAGGAATCAACAAAAGGAGAGGATTAAATAAGACTATACATTCAAAGTATTTACTACAAATTCTATCATAAATGTTCATTGTTCTATTACATTCTGTACCTCCTTAATCAAAACATATTTTTTCAAAGTAAAAACTTCAATGATCCCAATATGGATGTTGAAATTTGTGAATGCCAAGCTGACATGCAAATGTGGTAATTAAATCTCTCCTTTCCTCCACAATTCATTAGTGCTTTGCTTTCATTGACTTAATGACTAGATACAGAGAGTCTTGCACAGAGACCCTTCCTTCTGCCATGCATCACCATGGAGTCACAACCACTCATAAGTGACCCTCCGGTGCATTTTCAGAGGCTGTAACTCATATGAGAAGAAACTTTCTCTCACAAAATTCATTGATAAAGATTATATTCAGGACATTAAAATTAGAACAAAACATGAATGAATGACCAGATGGATGGGTGAATAGATGGAGAAGTCATAAACTTAGTATCTGCATCCTGGCTCTTACATCTGCATCTCTTCTTTGCAGGAGCTCTGGTAGCATAGCCTGTAGGTAGTTGGGCTGCTAACCCAGAGGTAGCTCCCCTCTAGTAGTTCAAATCCACCAGCGAACAATTCAATGGGAGAAAGACAGACAATCTCCTGTAATTTTGTAAATGTGGTTTACTGCTTCTGAAAACCCACTGGAGGGTCAGCTATAAGATGATTCCAACTCAACATCACTGAGTTAAATTGAGTCTGTTCTTGGTACGCAGCTCTTCTGGGTTTTATTCATTTCCCTTTGGCTACAGAGTTGTAGCACCAAGGAGAACGACAAGTCAGTGACTGTCTTTGTTCCCTCCAAAAACATTTCTCATGTACCTTGGTGTCCTTAAATACAAAGTGGAAAATCTTAAACTTATCAGCAATTAGTGTTGAAACTAATGCTAGACATGCTAGAATCACCTGAGAGGACCATATTGGGCTTGCAAAAGTGGTAATGGTAAAACAAGCCAAATTACTTTTTTTTTTTTAAGAAAAAAAAAAAGTTCTTGCTTAACTTCCCAGTTGTCTGTGGGACTGAGTGACAGGTCCACCTGTCCCTGGTGCTGGCTTGGAGAGCACATTAAATATAACACACGGGAGTCACTCACATAGCGTCACCCTCCCAACACTCCTCACTCTCAGAACCTTTATTTCCCCAGTATACCAGAAATAAATAGTAAGATTCTTCATTTCAAATCTGAATAAGAAAACATGGGGAAGATTTGACAAGAAATCTCATAGTCTATTGAGTATTACTCTCTTTTTTTCCTTTCTTAAAGTTCTGATGATTTTAGTAACTTTATTTTGGTAGGCCAAGTAGGTTTTCTCACTCTTCTTGGTAATTCAAGGCTAAAATATGACACATTTGAATTTTAGTTTTATTTCATTTGTCAGGTCTTTGGCTACCTCACTGAATTCTAAACAGTGCATATAGTATATATTTTTGGTATCCCTGTGACTTTTTTCTAACATGTGCTACAATTTCTTCTATCTATACCTATATCTATATTTTTTTCCCCAGCTTGATAACATAGCATCTGAGTGGGTTGGACTTCCTCCTCTGCCTTCAGCCAGGTGTCTCTTCGGTCTGGGAGAAGTAGATGATAAAATCTATGTAGTTGCAGGCAAAGACCTTCAAACAGAGGCTTCACTGGATTCAGTATTATGCTATGACCCTGTGTAAGTTGACATGACATTCATGTTTCTAAGCATTCACAGCCTATGAGTGTCTAAAATATATGCATTTTTTAGGACATTAAGTTATTTAAAAGTTATCAATCTTCTCATATTCTCATTTTAGGGCTGTAAAATGGAATGAAGTAAAAAAACTTCCTATCAAAGTCTATGGCCATAATGTGATTTCACATAAAGGAATGATATATTGTCTAGGAGGAAAGACAGATGACAAGTAAGTATCCTAAAATTTCCTTATTATTTATATCAAAATTATTTTTTTATAAAATTATTAACATGATTCATTCCTCTTTTCATTTAAATCTATATATTGAAATGGAACTTGACCAATAATAATTTTATTATTGTAAAATTTTAAAATGAAAATTTGAAATGTTATATTAGTAGATATTATAAATTATTTCTTAAAAAAACTGTATGAAACTTAAAATGTTAAAGTGAATATGTAGATGCCCTGAATACACCAAGGAAAAAAATCACAAGCATGTTTACAGTGGAGAAGCAGCATTTAGGAGCTTAATCAAGTCTTCTTTTGCTGATTTATAATTGTATTTTCTACATTAAGACCAGTGGACTTTCTTATTCATTTAGCCATAGTAGTCTGGAAGCAGGAGTGGCATCCACTTCCCTAAACAACATGCCTCTGGAAACTCTATAAACTTTGATAAATGTTGATAGTTACAGAAAGGTTTCAGGCCTTTTGTTCATAGGGTCGCGATGAGTCATGATCAACTCAAAGGCCATCATCAACAGATGAAAATGAAATGTATCTCTTTAATGCAGTAAAACAATAACACACATATATAATGTATTTATACTTTACATTCATAGAAGGGAATTTAGATGTTTGAAAAGAAGGTGATTATTGCCTCAGCAATATTTATTTGCTGTTGGAGAGAAGTGATATTCTAAATGTTTAAAAGCTAATTACAAACAGGTACTCATCAAACAGAACAGACAGGTAACTCCCTGATATTCTAGTGCCCAGTCTTCTGTAAAAAAAAAATTTAAAAAATTAAATCAATCAATCTCTGTCATACAGAACACTGATTTGATTTCTATGCCTGTCCTAAGAGACAATGGAGCTCTGGTGGCCTAGTAGTAAGGAGCTGCTCTGTCAACCAGAAGGCATGAGGTTTAAATCCAGCAGCTGGTCCGTGCAATTTACCACGTCTGAAAACCCTCTGGAGGAGCAGCTATGGGCTGGTTCTTAATGGTAACAACAACAACCTAAAAGTCAGGTGATGATAAAAGAAGTCTTACAATTCAGAGGGAGGAGAAATTAGTGCACACTGCTCCAGGAGTCAGTAAAGCCAGGAGCCTGATGAAATAAATATTTTTGGTTTCATTATTGAGCAGAACTGAGTTCTTACAACTGGAGTTCTTTCTCATTTGATTTGCCTTCATGTCCAGAGATGCATGAACCTAAAGAACACACCAGAATTGAGAATGGTAAGGGCAAAGCAGGAGAAAAGACTGGAAGTGTGTTAGAAGTAAAGAACTTTATATTTTTAATAATACTTATTCAATAAAATAATAAAGAACAGAACTGTTAATGATTTTTATACACTCTGTTTATATTCTAAGATAATGTAATTTTACATTCTTTTAAAGTCCAGCTATTTATGCCAAATGAATATTTAAACAAAATGTATTATAAACTCATTCAATGTAGTTTTATTTTGGGCTTTTATTCACTGAGTAATGGAAAGGGAAATCTGTATTAAGCAGAATTCTGCCTCATAAAACACAGGGTTTCTGCCAAATGATTTAAATAGTTTCCTTCAAGTAGTATTAGTAACTAGGAAATTGATACGTCTGTAAGAGCATACAGATTTTGCCACTAAGAATATATTAATCTTGATTATATGTGTAACCAAGACAGCACTGCTTGACAAATGCCAACGTCAAGAACTTGGAAATGAGTCATCATCTAAAAGTAAATTCTGAATTGCACTACTCACCATCAGAGAGTTTGAAAACCATGATTTTATATCATGTTCTGATTAAGAGGTTTTAGTTGAAGTGACTCTACTATCAAATAATAGAGGAGATGTCACTAGGCTAGATAAGTAGTCTTTTATAAGATTAAAAAAAGAAAGAGATTCTCACAAAATGTTTATTTTATTTTGGTATTACCAAATACATCCAGTTAATTACCATTTGGAATCATGAACTTCCATTATTAACAACTTAAGAACACAAGGAACATACTCAGTAGAAAAATCCAGATGAGTTTAGATTTTTTTTAGAAGTTGCTTGGAAGTAAAGGTACCTTGCCTTCCTGCAATATAAATTATAAAATAATCTTCTCACCACATTTGTACCTGTTTTTTGTCTAGTGGTATATGTTAAAATTAAGTTTGCTTTACAAATTGATACGATAGGGCATAATTTATCTGAATGATTGAATGAAAAACCAAGTTTTTAAAAGAAAAAAAATTAAAAGACTACTTTGGAGTTTTCCTGACCTGCTGTACTACATATTTCAAATGAGAAGCAAAGCAAAATTCTTATCAAAAGCATGGTTTTTTAAAACAAAACTAACTAAAATTTTAACAGTACTTGAAAAATCAAAGAAAATCCTAAAAAGACATAATTTCTTTCATGTTTACAGAAAATGCACAAACAGGGTATTTATCTACAATCCCAAAAAAGGAGATTGGAAAGATCTGGCTCCAATGAAAACCCCTCGTTCCATGTTTGGAGTGGCAATCCATAAAGGCAAAATTGTGATTGCAGGAGGTGTCACTGAAGAAGGCCTTTCAGCTTCAGTTGAAGCTTTTGACCTCACAACCAATAAGTAAGTTGCTATATCTTAATACGCATGGGAACATTGTATATTTTCATTATTTTGAAAAAAAAAACCAAACAAAACCAAAACACTCTAATTAGAATATAGGGAGCTCTGGTGGCCTACTGGCAAAAAGCTGAGCTGTAATGGCAAAGGCACATAGTTCAAGGCCACCAGCTGCTTTGCAGGAGAAGGATGGGCAGTCTCCTCCTGCCTGATTAAATGTCTCTGAAAACATGCTGTAGAGTCAGCTATGGGTCGGTTCAAGTTCCATAGCACACAATAACAATTAGAATATTGGGAGAGGAAGTCAAAGAGGAAATATTTTGGGGTCTCTCCTATCATTTTTGGATGTAAAACTCCTAAAGTTTTGGTGTATTACATGTATTTGTAATTTATAAATTTGTAAGTCCTGAACCTTCAAGTTAATGTTGGGACATTCTATTTATCCTTGTTGATAAATGTCTATGAATCTGTAGAGTCATGTAGTTTTTAAATAGGTAAGTATTTTTAAAGATAAAAATATCTTCACTTAGCTTTAAATGATTGATGCTTATAAATTTTGAAAGCCTCAAGTTTAACTTCTTCATGCTTTTTCTAATTTTCTTAAAATTTTAGTTTTTAAACTTTTGTTAGTTTGACATTTATGTGAAAATGTACCTTTTTTCACAATATTTTTTTATTAATTTTAATGAAAATTTACAGAGATTTTGGATTTCCATTCATTCATTGCCACACTTTTCTCCCTGCCTACCCAATATTCAGTATATAGTCTTAAAAACATTACTTTAGGATTATTCTTGAAAGTTCCTCATGATTTTAAGATACTAAACCTATTTGGTAAATCAAACATAAATATGTCCCTAAAATATTAATATTGTAATGGTTTCCTCATTGCTAAACTAAGAGTATAAAAAGGATATCATCATCCAGATGTATATACTCACAATATAAAAAAAGACCCTGATTCTATATAAAAAATGTTGGGGGGGTGGGCGGGGCAAAAAGTGCAACAATGAATGAATGGAAATCCAAAACCTCTGTAAATGTCTATTAAAATTAATAATAAAAGACTATATACTGAATATTATGATATAAAAATTAAAGCAATATTCAAAATTATAAATATTGTGTTCTTATTTGTGTTTACATGCATGGGTGCTATACTTACTGTGCTGTTATATAAAATTGCAACAAAATATTGTTGGTGATTCCGTCACAGGGTTTATCACAGGAGATAACTTGTTTCCAGTGCTTTTGTGTACTGTACCATTTTCTACAATAGGTTATTTTTTAAAATATAAGCAAGTACATAACATTAGCATTTATTGGGTCTATGAAGATGTAGGCAGTCACTTTGTATACAAGACATATGTATTTTGTACAGGAAATTGTTGTCTTTACTACATCTATTTTGCACTTTGCAAGTAGAGCTTACAGTCATCATTAAGGGAATGTTAGCAGCTGGTACACTGTGGCCATGCCTTTGCCCCTGCTCTTGGCCATGTTAACATTAAACATTCATATCTTTCATCTGCCTTTGAATGCAGGATCATTCCACAACACCCACATCACCCACCAACAGGAAGCTAGTATTAGCACTCCCACATTAGTGGACATTCTTTTATCATCTAGACAGGGAACATGTTTTCCTGCTCTGTAATACTAGTGACAGTTATTACTATGGCAGTCAATGTGCTTTGCAAAATCTGTTATGTTTGTACTTTGAGAATGTGTTCTAAGATGTCTTATAAATTACCTCATCCAATCTAAAGTGTTTGGTTAACAGAAATGCTATGTTGTCATCATTAAAGACTCATTTAGGAAAAATGGAAATAAATTCCAATTAAGAGGAAGCTCTGAAAAAAAAAATAGGAAGCTCTGGTGGCCTACTGATGAAAAGCTGTGCTGCAATGTCAAAGGACATAGTTTAAATCCACCAGCTGCTCCATGGGAGAAGGACGGGCAGTCTTTTTTTTTTTTTTTTTAAATTTTTTTTTTTTTTTTTGATGGGCAGTCTTAATTAACTGCCTCTGAAGTCTCTATGGACAGTTAGCTATGATTCAGTTCTGAATCGACAGTACACAACAACAACAACAAAGAGGAATGTAGATGTCCTTCCGACAAATATTCAACACGATAGATGGTTCACTGTACTGGTAAAACCTTCTTCTGAGGAGGTTTTCATAATTAAGATAGATTCTCTAATCACAGGGCCAGATGAACCCAATAGCTGAGAAACTCCCAAGGCTGTGGAGGTTAGACCAGAGACTGCTAGTTGCAGGACTACTGAACCCAAAAGTGGCAGGTCAGACTACTGGGGCATGAGACAGCAGGTGCTGCTGAATCTCAAGAATCGTGGTTCAGAGGATAACCCAGCCTACAATATACCTATATTATTTTTATCATTAGAAACAAAATTATGTATTTTTTTTAAAAAGTGAGGTTCAATATTAATGTCAAAATAATGAAAATAGGAGTAATGAAATGACTACTTCATTTTAAACTCTTGATCCTCCTAAGTAAATTTTACTAATTTCCTTTTAATTTTTAAAATTTCATATGGTTGTTAACATTAAAGTGTCATGAGATTATGAAAATATTTAAAAGAAATACTTTTCTATTTTATAGTGGGTTCTCTAAAACAGCAAACCCTTTTAAGCCTTTATGTATATGGAGAGAGAAAGAAATTTATTTTAGGTATGTGATTCGTGTGTTCACAGAGGTAAGTCCTAGGTCTATAGGTCAGATCTCAAGATAGAAGCATGTGAGGAGGCAGCATGCAGGTCTTGAGCAGGCAGGGAGGGGCCTCAGGATGCTGACTTCAGAGACTGGCATGTCCAAAGGTTGTTGCTGGGAAGCATGGTCACTGATGACTGTCTTCAGAGGCTGGCACTTCCACAGTTTGTTGTACAACAAAGTCGTAGACAATGGGCAAGCCCAAAGTCAGAAAGTATGACAGACCACTGGGTCTAAATCTGGAGACCACAGGCCACACGAGATGTAGATTTGACCAAAACCTTCCTAGCTTTTGCTAGCATCCAAGCATAAATACTATGCAGGAAACACCCTGGAAGAGACCTGCCCTTAATAAGATAAGGCTACTCCCGTCTTCACAGATCTACTTGCAGTCCTGCCTCAGTATTAGAATTAGAAATTCTAGCATACAGAAGTTACATTATCCTGAGTATCTGATCTTGTTGACACATAGTATTAATGATGATACAGTTTCTAAGCTAATAGTTTTTCTCATCCAGTTGAATCCAACACAAAGCAAGCTGGAACACTAGGAGCCCTAAAACCACCACCAAACTCCAGTCCGTGGGACAGGATGTGACAGCTATTGCTGAAGGTGCTAAGTGATAAGCAAAAGATGGTTTTATCTTTCAAATAAGGAATTGTTTGTTTTCAATTTTCAATTTCAGTATTGTTTCAGTGACAAGGTACCATAATCTTTCAAATATCTGTGTCTATGTGATTTGAGGGTTTTTTTTTTAAAAAAAATTATAACTTTTCATTTTTCAGTAAATGCATTTGGCATTTCATTACCTTTTTCATTAGCTGTTTTTTCAATAATTCCTAGATGGGATGTAGTGCCTGAATTTCCCCAAGAAAGAAGTTCCATCAGTTTAGTCAGCTTGTCTGGATCCCTGTACGCCATTGGTGGTTTTGCTATGATTCAGCTGGAGTCAAAAGAGTTTGCACCCACTGAAGTTAATGACATATGGAAGTAAGTTCTCTTCAGTTCCATTTTTTTAACTAAATATTAATTTACAAGCTGAAAATGGATAAAAGAATTTCACTGTAAAGAGCAAGTCTGACTTTCACATATATATATATGGCTACTTGTTGGTAGCAGATGAAACATTTTTTAAACCTAATTGATATTTTGCACATGCCCTTATTTGATCAAGTACTGAATTGTTAACTTGAGAAAGGGTAATATTCCTTGGGCCTGTTTACCTAGGGAGCTTCAAGAATTTATGATGCCAGCCCCATCCACGGATACACAGCAAAACCAGAAACTTTTCTGAACTTCACCTTGCCAGAGACTTGCCTTAGTGGTTTTGCTAGTCCATAGTAATTCCTAGAGGATATCTATATTTTAAAGTCTCCACAATGAATGTGAAAAGTGGCTGAGTATGAGCACTAGTGCCATAGTTGAAATACAGAGCATCACCATTCTATTCTATTGATAGGGTTGTACAACTTGTGACCTTCCCTGTGGTCTATTCAGCTCACCTCTAGTGAGTAAGAAGCCTCCTTCCTTTCATTACCTTCTATCACATTTTCTTCCTTTTACTGGGAACTGCATGCACAAAATTGGCTAAAGTTGGCTTTTGCATGATTAAAACAGTCATATGACTAAATAACCTCTTAGTATGACCTGAACCATTTGGTCTCAAGTTTAACTTGATTTACTCACTCATTGCTGTTGAGCTGGAACCAGCTCACAGCTGACCCTCCAGCAGGATTCTGGGAGACTGTCAAACTGCACAGGAAGAGACTGTCCATCCTTCTTCTGTAGAGCTGGTGGGTTCAAACTGCCAGAGGTGGCAGCAAGGCCCTTGGGTCAGCAATGCAACTCACTACAGACTAGGCCACCAAAGCTCCCCACAAAGCTCACCATTGTTGTTGCTGTTATGTGTCACTGAGTCGTTTGCAACTCATAGTGATCCTATGCACAATAGCTCTGAACCCTGTTCTATCCTGAGCCAATCTCACTGTCTCTCACACATCTGCCTCATTACCCGTTACTGTGTCAATCCTTCCCATCCAGGGTCTTTCCCTCCTGTACTGTCCCTCAACTGTTCCAAGCATGACATCTTTCTCCAAAGACTGGCCCCTCCTAGCTATATGCCCAAAGTTGGGGAGACAGAGTCACAAAATCTGTGCCTCTAAGGAGGAGCTTGGTTTCTAAAAACCCTAAACCTAATACAAAGATTCTGATGTAGATGATCACTGATTTGGGTATTACTACCCTTAGTTAACTCTGGGGCCTCGATTCTCCATCCAGAACTGAGATTTTTATTTTTATATATGTAAAAAGATATAAAATATTGGTATTTATACTATTCTGTACTATTGTGTAGTATTTACTTCCCAAGTAATCATTGATATTTTGAATTTTTTAAAAAATAAAATTATATATGCAGCATAAGAAATACTGATTATCCCCATCGCACCCTCATTAATTGGTCTAGGATATATTATAGCCTGGAATTTAGAACCTTTGAAAGAGCCTCAGCTGATTCTAATGTACAAATAGCTTGTGAGGCACTAGATTTGGGAAGCAGGGAGTGTTTAGCACTATATGCTTAAAGTTGTAAAATACTCAATTTGTTGTTGTTAGGTGCTGTCGAGTCAAATATGACCCATAGTGACCCTACATATAGCAGATCTGAACCCTGTGCAATCATTACACTTCCTAACCTATTAGAGCCCATTGTGGCAGTCACTATGTCAATCCACCTGATGGTCTTCCTCTCTTTCAGCAACCCTCTACCTTTCCAAGCATCATGTCCCTTTTCAAGGAATAGCCCCTCCTAGCAACATGTCTGAAGTATATGAGTGTATTTGTCATCTCTGTCTACAAAAGACACTCTGGCTGCATCCTCTCCAAGACATATTTGTTCTTTTAGCAGTCCATGGGATATCAGTGTTCTTCTCCAGCACCACAGCTCAAAGACATCAGTAATTCAATGTCCAGCTCTCAGATGCATAGCAAGTGACTGGAAAGATGAAGAAGACTGAATAAGATGCACCTGATAATTATTAAATTTAGGTACTTGTATTATATGGGACAATAATTCTCAAACATTGCTACATATTAAAAAGACTGGAAAAGCTTTCAAATATCCCTTGTGTCCAGGTTACACTCAGTATCAATCAGTTTTCGGAAAGAGACATAAACATCCGTTTTCTTACACTTCCTTGTGGTTCCTGTATGTAGTGAAGGCAGAACCACTGGCCTGTCTACCCCATGACTGTCAAAAAAGCATCAGCATCACTTAGGTACTCAATTATTATTATATACCAACCACTGAGTCAGAACTCATAGTTGACCCTCTAGCGGGTTTTCAGAGAAAGACTACACGGGAAAAGACTGCCCATCTTTCTCCCGGAGAGCAGCTGGCAGATTAAAACTATGTCCCTTTGGGTTAGCAATGTAACTCCTTACCTACTAAGCCACCAGAGCTCCCCTGCTACTGGATGTTATTGTTGTTGTTATGTACCATTGAGTCGCCTGCAACTCATAGTGATCCTATGTACAAGAGCCCTAAACCCTGCTCTGTCCTGTGCCAACCTCACTGGCTCCGACACACCCACCCCATTACTGACCCCAGTCACTGAATCGATCTACCTCATCCTCATCGAGGTGTAGAAAGGTAAAGTTTAAGGGCTTACCTCAGCACTGCTGACTCAGAGACTCAGCTTGGTTTGAGCTCTGCTGGTGACTGCTGCACTGCGAAGTTGAGAAGGGAAGTAGAAAAGCTGGCTGCTCACTTGCCCTTAACTCCCTAGTGGAGCTCACTATTCACACATGCAGAAACGAAAAGATGAACTAACAGTATATGGTTACTATAGCTTTCACAACCTGAAGCCACTTTTGTTGTAAAGTGTAACAAATTTTCCATTATATACATGGAAAATAACCTTTGATAAGCAGATGACACAACCTTGCTGAAAGTGATGAGGACTTGAAACACCTGCTGCAGAAGATCAAAGAATCCTGTCTTTAATAGGAATTGCATCTCAACATCAAAACAACAAAAATTCTCACCACTGGACCAAAAGGCAGTATCATGAGATGGAGAAAAGACTGAAACTGTCAAGAACTTCATCTTGAATCAAAAATCAGTATACTTGGTACCAACCATCAGATCAGTAGACGTATTGCACTGGGAAAGTCTGCAGTCACAGACCTGACCTCTCCAAATAAATAAGGACCAATGATGTTAGTCTGAGACTGAGGTGCACCTGATTCAAACTGTGACCTTTTCAGTCACTTGCTATGCATCTGAGAGCTGGACAATAAGGATGACAGAAAAAAATGTGCCTTTGAACTGTGTTGTTAGAGGAGAGTATTGAACATCCATCCCATGGACTGCCAAAAGAATGTTTTGGAGAAGGTGAAGCCAGATTTCTCTTTGGAAGCAAGGATGGTGAAGCTTTGTCTCACATACTTTGGGCATGTTCCTTAAAGAAGGACATCACACTTGGAAAGGTGGAAGGATAGCAAAGGACAGGAAGGTTCTCAACTCAAGTGGATTGACACAGTAACTGCAGCAGTGGGCTCTAGTGGTCAGGAAGTGTGAGGATGGCACAGGTTTCACAGGATCACTATGAGTCATACTTACCTCGATGGCACCTAATAACAACAACATGGACAATCTTTGATTCCTGAAGAAGGCGTCACTGCATAGGCATCCCACTTAAACTCTGTGGGAGTAGTTTGGGCATGTACACAGGGTATATATTTGGGGAGAACTTCAAATGTTTTCTCTCAGGCAGGGGCATCTTTCCCAGGGAAGGGCCTTAACTACCATACATGGTATTTTTCAAAGATACATTTCCCTATGAAACAAACTACTTAAAAGATGCTTATTAATGACCTCCCCCTTTTTCTTTCTTCAGGTATGAAGATGATAAAAAGGAATGGGCTGGGATGTTGAAGGAAATCCGTTACGCTTCAGGAGCTAGTTGCCTAGCAACACGTTTAAATCTCTTCAAACTGTCTAAATTATAAAGAAGAAGGTGACAAAACAACTGATTAGGAAGAGGTTTACTTGGAAAATAGGGATTTCATTTATTGGGGATTTTAAAGCCTACAAAGAGATTCCTTTAGAAATCTATCCTTTACTAAGTTATTGTCTAAAGAGGTTGGCAGTGAGTATCAATAGTCAAAGAATCAGCAATGTTTTGCTCAGATTTTGAAAAGGTTTTAATAAACTCAACAAATTATTTCCTTTGTTAATATGTCTCAACTGATTACAATGGAAGTCCTAAATTTTTTTACTAATCCTTTCATTTGTATAATTAAGGTATCTTCACTCATTTTCTATAACAAATATGTATAGATGCATCTAAAAATAATGCCAAAAAGATCTAAAACCTTCTTTAGGTCTTTAAGATATGACAGGAATCCTGTGCATTACAGTAAAGACTACATGCCATGAGAAGTTTTTGGAAATGTTATTTAAGAATCTAATAAGTAGATCTCATTTAAAAGAAAGAAAAAAAACCTCTTCAGTAAAACTTCAGTGGTGTTTTCCTCCCCATTCATTGTGTGATAGTGATGTATTCTGTTTGTAATTGCTGAATCAAATTTAGTTTTTAAAATGTATTTAAGGGAGTTCTGGTGGCCTAGTGGCAAGAAGCTGCACTGCAATCCCAGAGGTGTGCGGTTCGAATCCACCAGATGCTCTGCTGGAGGAGGGACAGTCTCCTCCTGTCACATCCAATTTGACAGTACACACACAAAATATAATAAAAAATTAGAAGAAAAAAGTATTAGTGGCAATCAAGCCATTACCTACAGTATGTGTGGTGGAAAGATGGGAAAACATCAATTGAAACTAGATCGATTCTTTTTTTTTTTTTGAGAGACAGAAATTTATTCTCTAACAAATCTATTCTCCCACAACACTTTCAAAGGGATGGTCCTTCCCAGCATTCAAGGTGTACGGTCTCCACCTTCCTGTGACATCTATCAAAATGTTCCGACCCTTGGTTATTCTCAAATGAAGACTCTGCTGCGGTTGTTCTTGTGTTAAGAGATATGGGAACCAGCCCATAGCTGACCCTCCAGAAAGTTCAGATTCCCTATCTTCTCCCCTCAAGAGTAGCTGGTGGACTCGACCTTTAGGATTACTGCACAGCTTCTTACCAAGAGACCACCACAGCTCGCTCCCTCTTGCATACAGATGCCATCAAGCCACCCCTTATCACAGAAGGGGAATGAAGATGTCATCCCCCCAGTTAGGATCATTCCATCAACACTTCAATGTGCACCTCCATGGAGTCCTGATCATTCACCCATGTGGATCCAGCTGAGCACCCCAACTCCTCTACAAGAAACAACCCTCTGACAAAACACCGAAGGGTCCTCAATGTCGCAGTGAAAGTCATATTGTGAGGCAAGGGAAGCACCAGGAGCCTGGACTTGTTGGTCGGAGCGTCTGACGTAACAGTCTCTGCAGGGTAGACTTAACGCACGGTTTCCAGAGAATCTAAGCAGTTGGAGCTGCAAGCAGTGGCTTAGAGCAGGTAGGATGGTGTTGAGGTGGGAGTCCATGAGCCCACAGTGAGATAAGTCCAGGCACTCCAGGGTGGCCGAGGTCCTGTCTATGGCAGCTCGTAGCAACTTGGTATTTAAACGTGCCAAGTCGGTTTTGGAGAAATTCAGCACCCTTAGCCCCCTGGCGCAGGTATAGAAGGACAGGGATTCGAGGTCTGAGTTCACTAATAATAATGAATGGCAGAAATAGTCAGGGACTCCGAGGGGGTCTCTAGGTGCCAGAGAAACTGGTGGATGTCTCCACGGAGGTAGACACTGAGCAGGTGCTCTGGTAGCCTAGTGGTAATAAATTGTGCTGCTAACTCTATGGCACGTGGTTCAAATCCAATAGATGCTCCATCAGAGAAATAGGGGCAATCCTCCATATGATTTAAAGCCTCTGAAACTTCCTAGGAGGCTTAGCTATGAGTTGCTTCCGACTTGATGGCATATAATAACACATTGAACAGTTATCTCTTTTTCTAATAAACAATTGTGACATGTTCCAAGTTAAGCACAAGTCAGGTTTCTCAGAACATATCATGGGAGAGGATAGGAGTCCAGCATACCCATGTGAAAGTTAAGTGAGATTGACAGGCTAAGAGAAGAGATTAGTTGATGACTTGTATTTACAGCTGTTTATGATGGCTATGGACAGCCAGAAGAGTCATCTTAGTACACACACATACATGGAAGAGAATAAACGGTCTGAATCTCAGGCCTCATAAAACAGACAAAGGAGTAATACCTTTCTTTGACCTGTTTCCTGCACCTCCCGCCCCGTTGGAAATCTGACAATAGACAGCCCTTGCAGGCAAAGTATAGTTAAAACTTAGGCATACAAGCTCCCACCCCTTGACCCCCACTTCGGTGGTTCAAAAGAATCAATCCACTCCAGTCCCTCATCGTGAATGACTGGCCCTTGAGGCGACGTCCCTGGATGAGCCGATGAGCTGGACAGCATCTTCATGGAATTCACTTCCCAGCTTGCCCACTGGCGCCTGTCAATCTCAGCACAATTTATTACCACTAGGCTACCAGAGCACCTTCAATTGTTCATGGACCTTTGTTTTCTCTATCATAATTACTGAAATATATTCAACAAACTACTTTTTAGTAGTTTTACTTTGGATCCTTGAAGTAGAACCCTGCCTACTTTTCTATATTAAAAACTACTGCTCTGAACTAGACCATAAGTACAAGATAAACAAATCCTACTGATGGGAAAATCTACAGGTTCTTCAACAAACTGTATTGGGGCTCAAGTCATTCAAAGTCATGGGATATTTCAAATAAGCACTTCCGCTAACTACTTGTGTATTATATATACTGTGATGGTCTGGGTTGCTATGCCATGAGTATTTCAATTATCAACGGAATAACCCATGGTGAACAAGCTGTCAACAGAGCTTCCTGACTAAGAGAGACTAGGAGGAGAGATCTGACAATACCTGACATTGAGCCAGTGAAAATATTGTCTCAAATAGTCGAGAAGATTTGCTCCCGAGGTGGTGATTGTTGTGTACTCTCAAGTCAGAACCGACCCAGAGCTGACCCTCCAGCAGGTTTGCAGAGGCTGTTAATAGCACAGGAGACTGCTCACCCTTGTCCTGCAGAGCAGCTGGTGAATTCAAACCACATGTCTTCGAGACTACAGTGCAGCTTCTTGCCACTAGGCCACCAGTGCACCCTGAAGTTGGAAAGCACTACAACAGCAGCAGGAGCAATGGACTCAAACTCACCAGAGATGAAGGTGGCACTGGACCCCACAACCTTTCTTTCTGTTGTGCATAAGGTCACCTGAGTCAGAACTGATTCAACAACTAAACCTAAAGAAAATTTAAATTAAGCAGATTACATGAAGGGCTTGTACTTTAAGGCTATACTTAAGGCCGCAGGCACACTGGCTACCAACTTATTTCAGCACAGTATGAGGTTAGATGGTCATGGAGCCAAAAAAAAAAAGGTTGGGTGGGGTTTTGGGTTTGTTTTTTTTGTTTTGTTTCCCTCCACTTCTACCTCTACTAGACAACCTGACAATATGAGTTTCTGATGATCCCACACAAATTGTTCTTGGAGGAGAAACTGGAGTTGAAAGGTCTGTGTTTGGAAGAGGGGTGTGGCAATAGGCTTTATGTACTGTCATACAGTAGACCTTAGTAACTCTTCCATTGAATAAAGGTGCTGGAAGAAAATTCTCAGCATGATCGCATCAGACCTGGTCAAGATTAGGCCAATTCTCCCATTTTCTATTGAGTCAGGGCTTAATACTAACCATTTTGCCAAAATTACTCAAGATTACTAGTGGTTTCCATGTCATTTTAAAGACCAAGGTGCATCTGACATAAGGCTTTTTTTTTAACTGCTTCATCATGTACATATGAAAGCCAAGCAATGAATAAGATCAAAGAATTGATGCCTTTGAGTTGTGCTGGTAGGGAAAGATATTGAATGTTGACTGTCAAAAGAACATCTGTTGTGGGAAAAAAAGTCAGGAGTCCTCCTTGGAAACAAGGCTGGTGAGATTCCCATCTTTAGCATTTATCAGGAGGAGCCAGTCTATGGAAAATGACAGTATGCTTGGAAAACTGGAAGGTCAGCAAAAGAAAGACCCTAAATGGACGGGTTACTACTATAAGGAGGGGCTGAAGTACAGGGGTAGAATGGCGCAGTACTGGACAGAGCTGTGGTCTGCTGTATGCAACATAACTAATGGGTGGACTTAACATAATGGTTTTTATGTGACTAAATACACCGGGTATTTCCCAGTCCTCATCTTACCTATCAGCAACATCTGCTGTAAATGCTACCGAGCTCCTTGAAATGCTTTCTTCACTTGGCTTATCAAATAATAACTTTTTTCCCCTTTTACCTCATTGGCCACCCCTGCTATGTCTTCATCTTAATGTTTGAGTGCCCGAGAGACAACTGCTCAGACCTCTTCTCTATTCTCACTCCTGTTTAGTCATAACTTAATGACTCTAATCTCATGGCATTAAATACTTCCAAATACCTTTTCTAAAGAAGAGAAATGAGGACTATACACATTGACCTCGTCTGGTGAAATACACTGGAATCAAACTAACCACCATCTGTACAAAGAAGACAGTGGAGAAGCTCAATATCAACAGTTAAAAGGCAAAACAAAGCCAGAGACCAGATGAAACAGACCATCACTCACTCACATGCAAATTCAAATTAAACTAAAGAAAAGGAAAAGTCCACAGGAGTCAAAATACAACTTTGAGTTTATCCCACCTGAATTTAGACACTATTATCAAGAATGGCTTTGAGGCCTTACAAACTAATCTCAGTAGACTGGACGAACTGTGGGATGGTATTAAGGGTAACATCCATGAAGAAAGCAAAAGGTCATTAAAAAGTCAGGAAAGAAAGAAAAGTCCAAATGGATGTCAGAATAGACTCTGAAATTTTCCCCTGAATGTAAAGAAGCTAAAGAAAAAGGAAGAAATGATGAAATAAGAGAACCGAACAAATGACTTCAAAGTGCAGCTTGAGAAGGAAGATAAAGCAAAGTATTATAAAAAAATGTGTAAAGAGCTGGAGTCACAAAACCAAAAGGGAAGAACACGCTTAGCATTTCTCCAACAGGAAACAAACAAACAAAAAAAAAAAAAACCCACAAACAAAAATCTCCAAACAAAAAACAAATCAAGCTTCAAGTTGCAGTACTGAAAGATTCTAGGCAAAAATGCTGAATAATGTAAGAAACATCAGGTGATGAAGGGAATACTGTACCAAAAAGAACTTGTCAGTAGCATAGGATAAAAAATAACAGTACTGAAGAAGTCCAAGCTGCACTCCAGGAATTTATGGTATACAGTACCATACTGATGTCACCCTGGACATCGTCATTAGTCTATGCCAAGAAATCTGAGAGGCAGCCACCTGGCCAACTGACAAGAACTAGGTCCACATTTGTCTACTATTTATAGTTCCACAGTATTCCATTGTATGGACATATCCTAGTTTAACAATTCACTTGAAGATGGGTATTTCTGGGCTGTTTCCACTTTTTGCTCTTGTGCATTATTACTACATGAATGGTGTGCATCACCATTTCTTGACTGTACTACTGGAACAACAGGTTTCTCTGCTTACACGTTTTCCCGCTTTACTCTTTTCTCACCTCAACAGAGTAGCCAAAGTAATCTGGTTAAACTGTGAGTTCTTAACATTACTTTGCTGAAAAACTTCCAATGGCTTCTTATCTCAAAGTAATAATGGGGTCCTTTATGTGTTGACCTTTACATTCTCTACCTCCCGACTTCTGAAGACACGGCCCTACTCCATAAATATAGTGGATTCCTTGTTACTCTAAAATACTCCGGGAATATTCTAAACTCAGAATCCCTGCCTAGAAGAATCTATCTCCAGATAGTTTTCTCTCTTTAAAACTTTTTTTTCCTTCTCAAAAAATTTTCAATGGAGGTAAAGCTTTGGTTTTTAAAGAAAAGAAAAAATGCTTGAATGACAGAGCAAATTGTTTTCCCATCCAATTATTTATATAGATTTCTTTCTTGTGATATTAATTACAGTGCCCATGTTACAGCAACACTCTTCCTATTTCCTACCTATGATTCTTATTTCCATTCATCCTTCTAGCCTCTTTCTCTGCTGAGTGTTCTCTCTGGGTAAATAGCTGTCCTTTTGATTTTCAATGACTGTCTAAGGGGATAAGTACCTCCCCAGAGTTATTGTTCACTTTATAAGTATGTCTATTGTCTAGCTCAAAGTTGGGACACTTGTTTGAGCTCCATTGTAGGCACAGTAGGGCCGTAACACTGGGAGCTCTAGCTGTCTTCCTTACACTAGCAAGACAGGTCATTTTTATGGTTTTGAGTTTTATTCCACATTTTTTCTACTCTGCCCAAGTCTATCTCCTATGATCCCTTTTATAGTCACCAACAGTGGCAGCTGGCACTATCTAGTTATTTTGGTCTCAGGGTAATGAAAGTTAAAAGATCATGTGACCTATTAGTCCTACAGTCAATTTCTCTATGGGGGTTTTTTTAAAGGTAAAAAAGTAAAGATAGTTTTATTAGAAAGTTACATCCCAAAAGGATGAGTGCCTCCCTCCTTGAAAGGATATATGGAGCATACATCATGGTTTTTATTTTCTTCACTATTCTTGGTCCCAGACAGAGAGATCAACAGATGTACCTTAAACAGCCAGTCACTAGCTTTTGAGACCGTGTCACTAATTACCAAAACTGGCGAAAGAAAAATGATTGTGTGGCCTGTTACCTCATTTGACTTTAATGTCCCCTTAGGTTATGGTCCTAAGGCCACAGGACTAGTAACTCATTCTCTCATTTCCTTTAGTCTTTACTAAGATATTAGCTTCAGTAAGCCTTTCCCAGGTCACCTTATTTAAAATAAAACACCCACAACATTCGGGTTCTTGTTTTGGATTTTTCTCTATAGAATTTAATATCATATAAAATACATTTTATTCATTATTTTTTTCCTTGTCTGATCACAAATTCCATTAATTCTATGCTATTTTAAAATTTAATCTAGTCACTTAATTAAAATGAGCTAAAATTTGACAAATAAAGATAACTAATTTTAACCAAAACCTACAATCATGATTTGCCTTTGCCAAATATGCGCTCTCTCAGGTAGTCCATCTGAGCATCCTTTGTTGACAGTGCCATTGAGTTCCATTCATAATGTGGAATCTAGAAAACAGATAAAGAAATAATACCATTTGAATAAAAGCTTTCGAGACAAACCCAAAAACACTAGAGAACTTCTGAGCGCTGTGGTGCAAAGTTGTTGGAATGCAATGAAATCAGTTTCACATAGCTTTTCTCTCTTAATGCTGTTGAGTCAGAACCAACTCATAGCTGGTCCTCAAGTGGGTTTTCAGAGGCTATAAAATGCCTATCTTTCTTCCAAAGAGCAGCTGGTGGATTCGAACCATGTCATGTGCCTTTGTGTTGTCAGCACAATTCCCTATCTACTAGACCACCAAAGCTTACAGAGCTTAATCTTTGAATTTTCTGTGAAAGGTACTGCTCCACAGGCCTTTTCTGCCTCACATCATTTTTTATTATTCAGTTCCTACAATAACAGCAACTGGTATTTCTTCATATGCCCTTCTACTTTCTTTTCTCCCCCTCTTCTCTTTTTTATTAATATTTTAACAAATGTTTACAGAAGTCTGGATTTCCATTCCTTCACTGTCGCACATTTTCTTCCCTCCCCATCCCTGTTCGCTTTTTTCTTAAAAAAGATTCTTTCATTATTTCACGTGCCCTTCTACTTCTATATACTACTAACCTTTTCCTTTTTTAAGTCTACTTATCTCCATACTGCCTCCCTGTCTAGTAAGGAAGATCAGAAGATCTCCTGACACAAGGCAGGACTACATCATTTCATTTTTCTGTAGTTCTTATCTTACCCCCATCCCTTCCCTACCTCCCCCAAAATCAATTCTGCAAATTGCATATTAAAAGGAAACACACATGCCATCAATGACCTTTACATTTTTATTTAAGAGACACAATTACAAGAGAATCCCATACCTGAATTACACGATAGCCCAGAATTTCCAAGTGTCTTATTTTCATGGTAGAATTTCCCTTTAAGTGAGGGATGTTTCTACAAAACGCTCTTGAATCCCAAAATAACACAGCAATCCTTAAAAAAAAAAATTAAATTAAAAAGAACCCAAAATATTTACTTCAAAAATAAAAAAGAAATAAAAATGGTATTCTGAATAATTAAACTTTTGAGGAATAAGTGTGTAGTAATATAAATTAGCAAAATTCTAATATAAATGAGGTTTTTTTACTTTATAAAATTGGGTATTTTTACTTAAAAAATTGGGAATTTTAGAATTAAACCTATTCATAGAATTTATATCACATTATGGTAAATGCTTCCTTGATTTCAATTATTTGTCTAATATAATTATTAAGCCTCTTTATCTTTAAGCCACTATGGCTGGAGAAAAGTACTGGATATACCATAGACTGCTGCGAGAGCAAACAAGCTCATCCTGAGAGGGTGAAGCCAGGTAGCTTCTTGGAGACAAAGATTCTGAAGCTTCGTCTAACATACTGAGATGTTGCAAGGCAGGATCAGTCCTTGAAAAAGGACGTCGTGTTTGGAAGGGTGGTGGGACAGCGCAGAAGACAAAGACCCTCGATAAGGTGGATTGATTCAGTGACTGGGGTAATCAGGACAGGTGTGTTGGAAACAGTAAGATTGGCATGGGATAGAGCAGGGTTTAGGGCTGTTGTACGTAGGGTCACTATGAGTCACAGGCAACTTGACTGCACATAACAACATGTCAATACAAATATGAAACAACATAAATGAAATCTAACAGAGAATATTTAAGTCATGGTAATGCAGTATACAAAGTGGCTAACAGCTAGTACAAAAGAGAAGAGATATAGAAATTAAGAAGATACTATTTATCTCCAACTGAGAACACTAGAATAGCCAGTTCTTCACTTAAATTTAACTTGCCAGACTGAAGCAGTGAAGGACATTTCAGACAGAAGGCACAGGAAAAACGAAGGTAAAAGTTAAAGTGCTTGATATGTATGAGGAACTGATTTAATGATACTTAACCCTCATTTACTGGGTTCACTATATTATAATACCAAATTCATGGTTATATAACATTAAAAAAAAGTTACCTTTCAGTTTCTGGTGGCAGCTTTGGTCCAACTATTTGGGTATTTGCTTGCCAGTGGCCATGTGATTCTCTCCCCAAAACTATATTATTGCTTCCATAAGAAACAGGCTTTTTTCTTTTATCTAAGACACACTCAAAATCTATAGGGAAGTATAGAAGTCAACGGTATGAATGAGATAAACACTTACAAGTAAGAGTTCAAGATGTACTTTTAAAATAAGCAGAACCCTGAGATAATCTTTAAAACTTCAACCAAAAATACCTCCTGAAGTCTTCTTAAAACTGAACAGCATTTTAACTAGGTGGTGTGGTGGGTTTTGGTTGTTGTTTGTTGTTTTTTGGGTAAAAAAAAAAAAAGGTCTGCCTTGAGCATCACACTCTTTTAAAAACTATCTGCATGGACTTAGTGACCACAGCCAACTCCAATGATCCAAGGAGCCTTCGAGGGCAGTGTGAGTTTATTATGTTTGTGGCAGAGGAACAACTTAGAAAAGAGGGAGAGGATGGTGGTACAACTCAAAAAATGTAACTAATGTCACTGAATTCTAGATGTAGAAACTGTTTGTTGGTGCATATTACACCAACAAAAATTTAAAAATTTTAAAAGTCAGCAATGAATAAAAAACAATCTGCTCTGTAAATTTTCAAATTATAATAAAAAAGGTTTAAAAATAAGCAAATAATTAGAAAGTAGTATGTGCCTTTATGAGATCTGGTGCAACAGATCCTAACCTCTCTTTGACAATCCATCAATAAAAATCAACAACAAAGTATTACTAAAATCTATATTTAGCACTGCACTAGGCCGCATAATATAAGGAGTTTATTCTAATAATTTAAATCTCCTTTAGTCTCGCTGTCATCTCTGGAAGAAAGTAAACCAAGTCATCTAAAAACTAGTATACAGATTTAAGTAATTATTCCATTTTTCATGCCGGAATTATACATAAAGATAACTAAATAGTTGATATGCAAAAAGTTCATTTAAGAAATATTCCACTAATACATGTAGAAGGAATAACAGGCACAGAATGCCATTACTTTGTCACTCTTAACTGATATATTTAGGCAATAAATTATCATTGATCAGTAAATGCTACATTTAGTGAAAAATTAATGGAGGGACTTTATCATAGACAAATCTCCTATAACACATAAATCAAATGATCAATCATAATATAAAAAAGTCCACCTCAACTATGAAGTCATCTGACCAATAAAATCTAATATGAATCTAATCAAGTCTCTCAACAACTCACTGCCATTGTTAAGTCAGAATCTACTCATCAATTGACCCGCCAGTGGGTTTTCAGAAGTTGTAAACTGCATGGGAGTAGAATGCCTATCTTTTGTCTCAAAGTAGCTAGAATCAAACTCATACAAAAAAATTCAAGCTAGAAGACCTTGGTTCAAATTCTGGTTCTGTCACTTGCCAGCTGTATAACAATGGACAAACAATAATGTCTTTAAACATCAGCTTCCGCATCTACAAAGTGGGATACTTTATGTATCTCATAAACTCAGTTGCTGTTGTTATTTATCACTGAGTTGGAATCAACTCATAGCTGACTCCTCCAACGGGTTTTCAAAGACCGTAAATCACATAGAAGGAGATTGTCCATCTTTCTCCTCCAGAGCAACTGGTGAATTCAAAACACATGCCTGTGGATTAGAAGCACAGCTTCGGGGAGCTCTGGTGGCCTAGTGGCAAGAAGCTGTACTGCAATCCCAAAGGTACATGGTTCGAATCCACCAGATGCTCTACCGGAGAAGGAGGGACAATTTCCTCCTGTACCAGTCAGATCTGATTTGACGGTACATACACAAAAAGAATAATTTTAAAAAAAAAAGCACAGCTTCGACCACTAGCCCACCAGAGCTTTATGGGAGGAAACCCATCTTTCTTCTGTGGAACAGCTGGTGGACTTGAATGACAAGTTTCAGGTTAAAGATCCAACATATAATGTACTCACCCCTAAGCTCTTGAATAAGGATGACCAGGAGTCACTGGTGGATTCCAACCACCTGAGAGCCTTTGGGTTAGCAGCACAGCTCGCTAGGGATTATTACATAAGAGCTCCTGATGCACCTCACAGAGATCTACTAAAGATGCCTTTGAGTTGTGGGGTTGGTGCAAAGTACTGCCTATCCCATGGACTGCCAAATGAACACTTACAGCTCAGAGAAAGTGCAGCCAAGGTGCTAATTAGTGACAAGGGTGGTGAAATTCTGTCTCACATATTTTGGACATATTGTTAGGAAGGGTCAGTCCTTGGAAAAGACTGGAGTCAAAGGTTTGGAATCCAGCATGCGTGGAAAGACTGAGGGTCAGCTAAAGAGAGGAAAATCCCCAATAAGATCAACTGACAAACTGACTGTAACAACAGGCTCAAGTACATCAAAGACAATGGGCAAGGTTCAGATCTATTGTTCATAGGGTCACAGTAAGTCACAGTTACAGCACCTAACAAGAACAGGTGTCACTGTCTCTCATAAAATGCAACACTATTATACAGTAGGATTACAATCTTCTTACTGCTATTATTAATATAGTTTGAACTGGCATTTGCTTTTGAGCAACAATTTAGTGTTATTTTCATCAAACTTACAGTCCTTCAAAATCTCCTGTGCGATGGTGGAAGGTGGTACAGCGCTTTCTCAAAAAGTTGCAAATAGAGATACCATTTGGCCCAGCAATTCCGCTACTGGGAATATACCCCAAAGAGACCATAACTGCCACCCAAGCAGTTATATGCACACCCATGTTTATCGTGGCTTTGTTTACAATAGCAAGGAGTTGGAAACAACCCAGGTGCCCAGCAACAAACGAATGGATAGAGAAGCTGTGGTACAGTCACACAATGGAATACTACACTGCTTTGAAAAACAAGGAACTCATGTAATATTATTCAAAATGGGTGACCCTGGAGGACATTATGCTGAGTGAAGTATCTCAGTCAAAAAAGGACAAATATTGCATGGTGCCACTGTTGTAAAACAGGACTGACCTCAGAGTTGGGGGGAGACTGAGAAAAATGGGTTCAATAAGGTATACTGCTTTGAAACAGATGAGGGAGAAAACTGTTAAGAGGGATATGTGATTAGGTATTTTTGTCATGATGGAAGTCCAGAGTGAAGGCTGCATAGTGGAGTGGACCTGGGGGGAGGGATTGTAAAACAATGAAAGAATTTTTCTTTTATTTTTCTAAGAGGGGAGTATACTGGGGGTGGGGAGCGGTGGGTGGTGAGAAAAGTACAACAATGAATGAATGGAAATCCAAAGTCTCTGTAAATTTTCATTAAAATTAATAATAAAAAAAATCTCCTGTGTGTATAAAAATGTTTTCTAGACTGACTTATAGCTGGCCATTTTTCTCTCCAAAAGTAGCTGGTGTATTTCATCTGCCAGACGACAGTCTTTGGGTGTGTTGCACAACTCTCTACAGACTATGTCACCAGACCTATCGAAGAAGCCAGGTGCAAAACTATTCTCAGACCAAATGCTTACATAAATTAAATTTACAGATGTTGCCCCTAAAGTCAGTCACCTGGGTTGTTTTAAGACCAGGTTCAGCTTAATGATTGATTACTTTGTAACTTTAAAAACCAAAAAAAAACACCTTAAGAGTGGTGTACCAATTGTATGTATTATCACTTAATTTTATAATTATTAAGTATATTAAATATTAAATATCATTATTAAATACCAATCAATCACAGGATTTTTTTTTCTAACTTCTTTGTAAACCATTATCCAATGTCAACCAATCACTTAATTTTTTTACTCAGTTTCCCTGCATTATAAAAACTCTCTAAACTGCCTCCCCTTAGGACCACCAAATTCAGAATCCTCTGGATCTCACGACTTCCTATTTGCAAACTGCCTAGCCTCTCAGCAAAACCTTTTGATTTTTCATTTCAACCACACTCTGCTATTTGCTCTACAACACCGGGAATGGCTTAATATATAGGCGATCAAGGGATAATCAGTGAATCTCAATCTGACTTTTATTTAAAACTAGTTTCTCTCTCTGAAGAACAGTCAAATGCTTATGGCTATCAAGGGTAAGAGACAGGAATCTGAGAGTTCACTGTACTATCTACCAATGACTTACCTACTGTGTAGTAATAAGGTGTATGAGCGAACGTTTTTACATAATTGATTCCTCCTAGGACTTCTGCTAGCATTTTATGCATCTGTTGTTGTGCTCCACTCAAGATTCTGGTATCTTTATGAGAATAAAATCATGCATTCATTATAAAAAGTGTTAACAATTTAGAATAAAAATCACCTGATTTACAAACTGAAAATTAAAGACTACCATATTTCCACACGTAACACATTCATGTAAACAATGTGTGCACACATACAATGCACATAAGAGGTTGCCAATTTTGAAAAAAACGCATAATGTGCACATATTGTGCATAACAATATGGTAATTATTTCCAACAACCCAAAAAGAGTGAAGAATAACTTTTCTAATTGTTTCAACCACTGAGTTAAAAATTAATTTTCATATAATCTTTGAAGTTTCATGAAAATAAACATGATCCTCAATATAATATATGTAATGAAACGAAATTTAACCCAAGTTGTTTGCTCACTACCAAAAAGAAGTTAATTGTCCTAAGAAATTTTTATAACACAAATTTTATCTATAAAATAACTGCATTAAACTAGGCCATGGCACCCTCAAGGACTCGAGCATCTTACACAGGTTTCACAATAATACTGTATGATAAAGAACCAAGTTGGCTGGCTGTGCCCGATTCTAGGAAAGGCTAGTACTATTAAGGTACTTTTTTGTTTTTCTAAAAGAGTCAGGGAAGCAGGGTCCTCATAGGCACCCCACATTTGGCAATCTTAGTTTAGGAAAGAAGGGGATATGATGCAAAACTCATGCATATTCACTATATTGTGCATATCTGTAGATTTTCGCATATCTGAAATAAAGAAATAAAGCCCATACGTAACATGTAAAAAAACTGAGGACACTGGTCTTTGAGGCTTTCTAGCTTGGTAAGAATGTCAGAGCAAGGAAAAGAGTACAGTACATCTCTTAACAAAAATGGAAGCCTCTTTCAGTGCCTGTCCCAAACTCTGCCTGGTGCATTTTCCAGTACATTTTTGTGCTTATAATGAATGGGTCAGTATAGGTGCTGTAGTCTCAAAGAATTCTGTGAACCATTCCAGTCAATTATCAAACTCTTTAGGAACCAGCAGGGTTCCTCTCTGTTTCTCAGAGAGTTGATTAAGACATTTCTCACTTGTGAAGAACCAGCTTTGGATGTCAAGAAGACAAAAGAGGGCTGTGCAGGCAGGTTTGGAAAGACCCTACATGGGGCAGTTAGGGTGAAAGGGAGAGAATACCATATGGGTTCCACACATAGGGAAGTACGAAGTGAAATGTTAATTATCCTCCCTCTTTAGGAATCTGCCTAGGGTCAATTTTTATTCACATAATTATGTATTTATTTTCTTTAAGCTCTACTAGCTGGTGAAAAGAAAAGTCTTTTTTATTAAAAGGCAAACCTTTTTTATAAAATAGCTGTTGACAGAAGTGGTCGTGAAACCATGGAATCTGAAATTCAGGGCATTCTAAGCTGACTGCTCTGTTCAATTCCAAAAGACGCAGCTGGGTCCTCTTACTTAAAGATGTAGATACATCTGAAATGAAAAAATAAAACATTACTGGGCTCTGAAGAAAAGAGCCTACCAAAAATAACTCATGTTTTCCCAATTCATTTATTCCTCTTACTGGCTGATCCTTTTAGTTTCATAAGAGCATGTCATTTATACACACATCCTTTGTATTTCACAAGTCTTAAATTTAGTGACATGATAATGATTGACTCTTACATCAATTTCATTAATTATGTGTGTTACAACAACACAACATTAAAATGCTATTTTTTGCATCTCTCTCAGAGCTAGGGATTTTGAACATTTCTTCATGTGCTTATCTGCCATCTGAGTGTCTTCCTTGGTGAAGTGTCTGTTCATATCCTGTGCCCATTTTCCAATTGGATTATTCATCTTTATCTTGTTGTGGTGCTCAAGTATTTTATAAACTCTAGATATAAGTCCCTTATCTGACAT